AGCTGTGTTAAGGCTGTACTGACACCTCAGTTATTCTGGCAGGTTCTCTCTCTGTCCCAGCTCCACTGTAGCTATATGACTTGCTGTTTGCCATATTTTAATTCAGCTTACTGAAAAAGTAGAAGTGGGTGAGGAAAGAGTCTTTCATAAAGTAGCATGCTTTCAGCTTCTGCTGCTGTTTTGCCATTCTCATCAGACAGCTCTCACTGCTTTCTAGGAAGAGTTGATGGTTATCTCAGACAATTAATTCACACTTATAAAATGGGTGAGAGAGATGACAGCTCTATACTGTGGGCTCTAAATTAAAAGCCCACCTGATTAGTTTCCCCAGGTTAGGGCCATGACAAGTACATTGCAATGATCTACCAACTCCAGTGAGAAAAACTGGAATGAGTTGCTAGTAGCCCACTTATTGCTTTGACTCAGGCTTTTTGTAAATTTTCAGTGTCAAGCAAATAGGGATTCGTCTGATACTTAGTTTATTATTTTCTTCTTTTTTCTCTTTTTTGGGTGCTTCTATGTTATCTAAAGTCTTTAAATTCACAAAACTGTACTTATTTGAATACTTGAGATCACATGCATGCGATTTGATTTGTCTTGCAACCTTAGATGAATTTTGCTAGGCAGAAATAGTTATTATTACAGCTGGAGAGCATTGGAGCAGAGGAAAAGTGTTACTCATTCCCTCATAAACAGGAAATAGACTACACCAGTTCTTAATGAGATGAACGAGAAAAAAATAGCTACAACCCTTCTCTGTGGGCTATACCTCCTGGCAGCTCTAGGTGCGGGTAGTGCAGTTCTGCAGCAGCTGCAGACTCTGTGAAGCCCCGCGGCGCTGCTCGTGTGTCGGGGCTGCCGCGGAGCCCTCTCAAGCCCGGGGCCGCGCCCGGGGCCGCGCAGCGGGCTCGCTCCCTCACTGCAGGTCGGAGCAGCTCTGCTCCAAAGCGTCTCCCGAGCCTGGGGGCACCTGCTGCCTGCCTTCTGCTGGTTGCAGCAAATCTAGCTACTCCCAAGTACTTCACTTTACAGCTACATTTGGGTTTAAGTGTTTTCATCATTGCTTTATGTGTTCATTTCAGTTCGTGTTTATAATGAGGTTTGTGTAGCTGGAAAATATACGCACACCGTAATGCAAGCTTATTCTAGCAAACACAAAAGATGGAGGTTGTGCTCTCTGAGGCGTGTTTGAGGAGCAGCCCTTTCCCCTTTCTCACACGTGGCACTGGAGCCCCCTTCGCAGCCTGCCAGCCTTGCAGCACCGAGAGCCTCCGGGCCGCACCGGGAGCCCGAGCGGGACCCGAGGGAACGGCCTGGAGCTGCCTCAGGGGAGGCGAGACTGGCTATCAGGAAAAGGCTCTTCGCCCAGAGCGTGGCTGGGGCTCCTCAGAGCCGTGCTCACAGCAGCAGCCTGCCAGAGCTGAAGCGTTTGGACAAGGCTCTCAGGCACATGCTGGGGTGGCTGGGGATGTCCTGGGCAGGGCCAGGAGCCGCTGATCCCTGTGAGTCCCTCCCGACTCGTGATCGCACGGCAGGAGCCAGCGCCTCCTGCCCAGGCAGGGTGGGACGTGGGGGGTCCCCTGAGGCTTCGAGGGGCCGGGGCTGAAGGCACAAAAAGGCGACAAGGTTTTTCGTCTGATAGCTTTTATTTGCGGTGCGGAGCTCCGTCCGTGAAGGAGCTGAATGCGCGTTACCAGCGTACACTTCAGGGCGTACATATCGATATAGACAGATAAATATATTTCAGTAGAGACGAAACATAACAGGAACAACATGTGCTGTAAATACACATTTACATTTGTCATAAATATATACTTTTTTATAAAAATAAAAGTATCACTAAAATATTTCTCTGTCTTCTGCAACTCACGCTGTGTTGGCACAGCCGTGTCCTGCCAAATTACCCGTGGCACAGGGCTCTGGCAGCACTCCTGTCACAGGAGCGAGGTCGGGCTCTTACACCTTTGAAACACCCCTGTTTTGAAGTCCAACGTCTTTTACTTTTGATCACTGTGAACATGGAATTTCATAAAAAAATTTGGTTTTTAATTTCTGCACTCCAGCACTGTGTGTACACCCACGGGGAGAGCGAAACAATTACCTTCTGAAAGTTCTCTTGCTGGGGGTTGTGTGCCCTGGGTCCCATCAAGAGGGCTCATTAAATCATAGCCACTTGTTACATTAATGTAATTACACCTACATTGTCAATCAAAATTTTCTCTCTTTTTATACTGAACAATCTATTCCACAGTATTCTGGTTAGAAACATTTTGAAAGCTTCATGTTTGGTTTCCATAAGTGCATAAAGGTGTGTATTTTTACATTTTGTAAAAGAACTTCATCTGCATAACACAAATAATTTTAAATAAGAACTTAAGAAAACTTATTTCCTGATATCCTTGATAGATACAGCATGGGATCACACCACACAGGTGTAGGGAATTGTGTTAACTGAGAAGCAGTACAGTCCCTTGTGAAGCTCCTGCTGTCAGAGCAGTTTGTAATGACTGTGAATCTTTATCCATCTGTAATTTAACCAGAAGCCTCCAATTTAAACAGACCTGAACTGAGCCTGAAGCTTCCTGCACCAAGTCAGGTATGTTGCAGATAGTGCTTTTAGCACAGGTAGTGGCAAAGGTAAACCATGTACACAAAAGACTTCTGCAGGGACTGAGGTCATCAAAGCTCCTCCTTTCAGATATTCAGGCTGAACACTAAAACCAGCTCAGTAAGATACAAGTACAGAATGGTTAGCTAAATTAATAGGAAGTATGGGTGATCACTAGTCCTCAAGTAAAAATATGGTGTCAGTATTTTCCACCACCAGTAGTTTCCAGAGCTGGAGAATGCAAAACACCTGTTACAGCAGCTGTAGACAACTAAGGGGCTCTTAATGATAAATTGGTATAAAGTATCAGGTAAGGGTGTAGGTGGTTCCTGAGTTCTCACTGACTGTTGAGCATAGTGTCTGAGCTACTGTTGGGTTTCCAGACAAAAAAGTAAAATGAGAAACAGGTAATATTTGCAAATAACCATCTGTACTTATGTAATTTTGTAGGATTACAAAATAAAAGTATATATTTAATTACAAGAAAATTAATAAATTATCAAATAACTATTCACAGTATTTTTATACACTTAAAATATAACTACAATTTTAACATATAATTCTACAAAAAATATGTAGTGCTACGTTTATGTTAGAAATGCAGAATGCTTTTGTAGTGAAATGATACAAAGAAAAATTACTGGGAATGTTTTGAAGAAATTTTCATAAATATGAAAATGTATAGGAATAATTTAAAGCTTTATTTTGAGCATGTATTCTTTAAGCAAACTTTTGGGTCTCAGCAACAGTTTTCTTGGGTTTTGTTTATGCATTTTTACATCTTAACCTTGAAATTAGATTAGATGTTAGGAGAGTTACTCACTGCTCTCTTACTGTGAGAGCAGTGAGGCACTGGAGCAAGTTGCCCAGAGAAGTTGTGGATGCCCCATCCCTGGAAGTTTTCAAGGCCAGATTGGATGGGGCTTGGAGCAAACTGGTCTAGTGGAAGGTGTCCCTGCCCATGGCAGGAAAGTGGGAAGAAGATGATCTTTGAGATCCCTTCCAACCTAAACCATTCTATGATAACTTTGGGGCAGCTTTTATGCTATAATACTATTGATGTAATCTAAACCCAGATTTCATCTTTGATTTGAACCACAGCTCATGGAGTTAAAAAACATACATATTTTTTCAGTGAAATATAATAACTTTAAAAAAAACAAACGAGCCCAGCTCTTAACGTCTCCAAATCATCACAGTTGATATACTTCAGGAACCACAGCTCACGGAGTTAAAAAACATACATATTTTTTCAGTGAAATATAATAACTTAAAAAAAAAAAACAAACAAGCCCAGCTCTTAACGTCTGCAAATCATCATAGCTGATTTACTTCAACATAGCTACTTGCTCTAATTGATTATCAGGCCCACTGTGCTTTCGTATATGGGGTTGGGGATATCCTTTATCCAGCAGACTGCTTACTTGCATATATGCACCTCCAAAGAGGCAACAAAATAAATCATGGATATAGAGAATCTCCTGGATCTGTATCTAGAGTTCTTAAACAGAAACATATCTGCATCTCTAGGTCATTGCAATAAATCCATTCTGCTTTTAGGCTTCGGAGTGCTTAAAGGTGAGATTGTTCGGTTTACAAAGGAAGAGAGAACATCACCTCTCCACAGGCAAGGAAGGAATCCCTGGCCAGGCCTCAGAGTGTGTTCCAGCTTGTGCAGCATGGGATCTGAGCTGGAGTTTGGAATTGAGTGTCTTCAGCCAGTGAGTAAGCTGTGTTCTAACAATGGTACTGAGCAGCTCTAAGTAAGGCAGAAAACTGACCTCATGAGAAAGTAACTGGAAATACTGGTCCTTGGGAGGATTTACAGGGAATGAAAGAGAGAATTAGAAAAACCTCAGGATAACATTCACATAAAATGGGAATTACCAGACACTATATATTACCACTTTCCTGGTTGAATTTACTGTATATTGCAGAATATGATACCCTACCTCTGCTATCAAAAATATATATAATATAAATCCCTCCAAGCGGGATGATGCAAAGCTGATATGAGTACCAGTACTGGTATTTAGAACTCTAGCTTGAAGACGTCCTTATATTGCAAATTTACCTCTTCATTCTAATTATTGCTCTTTGATTTTGTGTAGTTGCATTTACTCTCCTGCTAGTCACAGTGACTAAATTAATTCCAATGCAAACAGAAAAGGTCTTAAGTAGGATTGAATAGTACTTATGTTTTGTGCTTTGCCACTCTGTCAGGCTGGATTTCACTCACTGATAGAAAGAAATAATTAAGTCAATTCATTAGGGACAAAATTCTCCCAGTCATCTGTGATGGATCATGTCTCTAATATGCTGCTTTCAGAACAGGACTGTGCTTGAGACCAGTGCAAACCAGAATAAAAGCTAAATTATTTCTGCAGCATTTTTGAATTGGGGGAAACATGCAAACACTTATGTTATGTTCCTAAACTCTGCGGAAATGTACAGGGGCTGCTCTTTAAAAAATAATCAGTTTTTCTTATATAGTAAATAGATTGGTGGTATTAAATACTCTTCATGCAAAAGTTCAGGATATAATGGTATCAGCCTATTATTTACAGTGTTACTCTCAAAATTCTCAATAGGGGAAATTTCTTTTTTTCATTACATGCAAATCATGTAGTAATAAATGTGAATATTTTAGAACTACTAGTAGGGGATATGAATTAATTAGTGTTCCTTAGTATTTAATTTATGTCATACGCATATAGCTTACTCCATTTTTTAGGTGATAAAATGACACAAGGTAATTATGGGTAGAAATGGTAATACAACACATACTTATATGACTTCTTCCTTCATTTCAGTCAGCGAGACCAAATCTTTTTTGCTGACTCGTAAGCAAGAAATGATAGATTTAGTACACAGAGTTGTAAATGTTGGCCACAATGAGAAACAAATGACACTTTGGTTCTACACTATTATATTACTAGTATTGTCTTGCCTTTGAGCAGCTATGTCATATTCCCTCCTAGGGTGGATTCAGGAGAATAACTCCCACAGCCTCTTAGCGCTGGCGGTCACTGCAGCTGGGTGGCTGCATCTTGTTTGGCAGGTGGCTTTGCTGTAGCAGAACTGCATTTGTTGCACAGATCTCTCATTGTTAGGAGACTTTGTTCCACAGCTTTTGCAAACATGTCTGAGGAGGTTTCCTTACATTCTTTGAAGCTTGAGATGCAGAACAATAAATGCTCTGGCTGAGGGTTGTAGCATGCCCCATATCCATTGGGCACCACAGGCCCATAGCAGCAGAACATTTCCATAGTAGTAGGAACCTGGGTGCAGGGAGAAGGGAAGGAGTGATCTCTGATTAATCAGGGTGCCTAAAATCAGCTGCTTAGGAACTGGGAAAAAGATAAAAAAATACTACAAATGCTGATAATGTGAATCCAGCCTTGTGGAGTATCACTGTCTTCAGAAATGCAGACCTGGAGATGATTTACCTTGGAAGGCAAAAACTGATCTCAGTATAGAATCTCGTTGCTCTGTTTGTTTGCTATGGTTTAAAAACTGGTGTAATTTGAGGTGGCTATAATGCATTTCTTTGCTCAATTTATATAGATATTTGAAAGCCAGAAGATTTGAAATCTGACTTAGGGATACAATTTGTTATTGATAGATAGGAAGTTTTACTTATTGGTTTTATGTACAAGGATTAGATAAACTTCTTTAAGGTTTTTAATTTCTTAAGTTTATGTTAAATTTGTAATGTGAAGACTGAATTAAATTAGAGGAATTAGCATTTTCCAGTTCTAATAATAGCTTATAATTGTGATGCTATATAAAAATATTTTAATGCAACTAGCTGGCATTAAAATGTTCTAATAATAGCTTATAATTGTGATGCTATATAAAAATATTTTAATGCAACTAGGCATTCTATTACACCCCAGTTTAATCATGGCATAATATGGCAGTGAAACACTTTCTTCTTCAGAAAATAAGAGGTGTTAGAAATCTATATGTTTCAGACTTTGTGTTCATGGGCCTTCTCAAACAACATTTGCCTTTTTAATGGTGTAGAACAGGCCATTAGTCCTGCTAATAGAGCCATAGAATTGTCAGATGAATTTGCTGTGCAACAGCCGAAGGCCATAAAGCTATTCAGAAGCACTCTTTGCTCATGGATAGTTTCTTGGAGAATTTATGTAGTAGCATGTTGGTTACATTCACTCATGTCTGAAAGCCTACAAACATTATGACAAGATCAAATTACTTATTAAGGTTTTATACTGTAGCATGATATTTTAAGTCTTTTGTTGCATAGTCCCAGTCTGTTGCAGTTGGGTTAGTGTTTCAGTTAATGAATTCCTACATAGATTTCTTTTTTCATTAGGACTGTTACTACATGCAATGAAACATTTAATTTTTAGGCTGTATGACATAAAGATGCTTCCTTATTCAGAACATTAAATGAGGGAAGTATTGACTCTTACAGTACCTTTGTATTTGCAAATAACTGTAAATCTGTAAATGTCTGTAACTCTTAAGTTGCATGTCTGCATGGGTTGCTGTCCTACATCAAACAACAGAAGGCTCTCAAAGATCTCAAACGCAGCAACTTTTAAGAGTCAAATTTCCTTGTGGCTCTTGGCTTTTTGCTTCTCAGGGTGGCAGCCCTTCTGCCTTGTGGCTATACTGTCACTGGCGTAAAGACTGCTCACCAGAGCTGTCTTCTTAGAGGAAGGAGGAAAAGAAGGGGAATGGGAGTATATGTAGTTTGGAAACTGAGCCCTCACGTGGATTTACTAGTTTGTTTGTGTGCATTTCCAAAATTTCTGCAAAGGACTTTGGAACGTTGCCGTTGAAGTGACAACTGCAGTTGGTATTTACTGTGCTGATGAACCAAAACAGGACTGAAAATGTGGCACAATTTGCAGACTTCTTGATGATACTGCTTTTGTTTGCTTGCCTTTTTTACATTGTTCTGATTATGAGCAACAAGGTCTGGCAGAACACGAATTATGCTTTGCTTGGCAGGACCAGTGAACAGGAGACTCACCTGGCTTGTTGAGAGGATGAATCGATTGCTGGTCAGATAAGTCTCATCTGTAAATATCTCTGGCAGTTCCTTGAAGTGTTCCCGTGCCACCTCTCTGAGCCCTAGCAGGTGATTGTCTATTGCCATTCCAGTAACAGCCTGTGAGAAGACAACAGCATTAACTGAGTTTGGAGGCATTTGGACTATTACTGCTTCGTGCTCTGGTCAGAGCTGATGAACTTGGTTTGAGTGATGTAAAGCCTGTAATGGTCAGGTATTACTCTGAGTATGTACTTTGCTGAAGATCAGTAACTAGAAATTCATGTGGTGCTCTGAAGATGTACAAATTAGGAAGGAGACAGTCTTGATGTGTATTATGTGCTGATGTTATCTGTGTGCTCATTGTCTCTCAAATCTGAATATCATGGGCTGGGCTTCTAAAGATGCTGAGGGGAGCATATGGGACAGCAGAAATTTCTAAGCATGTTTTGGAATTTTCTGTGCATCATTTGGATTCTGTTTCAAGCTGGAGGGCTCCAAGACACCTCCAAATTGAAATAAGTTTTCCATCACCTTGCTGCCTGCATCTCCCTCTGGCAGTTAAAGCATATGTCATTCCATAGAATGTAGATCTAAGGATCTGGTAGGTATCTGCAGCAGGCTGAACAGAATAACAGAGAGATTTGCCAGTGACCTATCCCAGATCTATGAGCAAGCCCCACTGCTCCAGAAAACTGGAGTTAGGGATTCAGAAGCAGTGGTGGCAGCTCACAGGAGCTGCTGCTGAGCCTGCAGAGAGTCCCTGCCATCAGCTGCCTATGCTCAGTTCTCTGCTCTGTCCAGCTACCAAATGCTCTAGGCTTAAGGCATTTATTATCTTTAAGAGCTACAGTAAATGTGATTGAAGATGGCTAATGGGGTCAAAATTCAGCACTGGGGGCTTGGCAGACAGGATAGTTACAGAGTTTTGTTTCTTTAGGAAACCAACCCAAAATTTGGTCCAACCAGGCAGGAATTGCCTCAGATAAATAATTGTGTTCAAAATCCTTCAGTCCAGGTTTTTTCTTGCTGGTGAAAACACTGATTTTGTGGGCTGAGCTGTAGCTCTTCTGTGGCCCAGGCTGAAGTCAGGGAATGGGAAGGGAATGCTGAACTAGGGACATTGTACTGCCCTGAGAGCAGAGGTGACATCCCTGTGGCACAGGACCCTTGTACCAAGGGGAACAAACAGCCTGAGAGAAGGCAGGATTTAAAAAAGAGCACGAACTTTGTTTTCCTCTTAAAGATTAAAAAAATAAAAGAAAGGAGCAAGTTTATTCTTCTCTTATGAGAAGAATAATTTTAACCATTGCTAAGTGCCTGAAACAGGGGGGGTGGGAGTACATAGCCTGGTTTAGCTTATTAAGAACAAAGCACCCATTGGTAAAGGAGCTATTTGCTCATCAGCCCAGATGGAGGAAGGATGCTTGCAAAAAGGTAGCATACATCAGTGCTGTGTTTATGTTCTTTTTCCCATACAGGGAAACTGACTTGATAATCAAAGGAAATATTTTGCTATCACACAAGATTTATAAGGCTGTTAGCAATGACATTTTTGCAACATAGATCAATGTCATGTCTGAAGAGAGGCTGAGACAGGCTAACGAAATAAACTGTGAGTCAACGCATAGGAAAAAACTGGGCTAAATTGAATTTTAGAGCTCCACTTTTAAGATAGCAGTGCTACTAGTAAGCCTTAACAAGGGGAAATAAAATCATTAAATTGCTTTTTGTTTTATGAAGTAGATTTTTTTTGGTTGTTTTCTTAGGAGCTATTACATTTCACTGTGTTATGCACAATTTAGTCAGACCATCTAAGTCTTACTCAGAGATTAAAGCCCCAAAGAATACATTCTGCTATTCTGAGAAAGGAGGGGGATCTTGGTAAGTAGAAATACCTGGAGAGCTTTTTTAATTTAATGGTTTTTCCAATGGAAGTTTTAATATTTTCCCATGAGCTACATTGGAGGCTGAATTTTATAACAGTTTCTGGATTTGAAATAACTTGGAGGGGAGAATTAATGCATTTTTTTTCCTCTCTTTTTTTTTTTTGGGGGGGGGGGGCGGAGTTGGTCTTGGGGTGTTTTTTTGTTTGTTTTTTTTTTTTTTTGAGAGCTGCTGCACAGAAATTCCATTGGTTGTGACCCAGTAGACCTTCAGTATGAGATTACCCTAAGGTGGTTCAGGGGAAGCAGTTGCCCTGAAGTAAGGCTTGGCTTTGCTTTACAGAACATGTGAAGTCTCAGCTTCTAAGATGTGGGTTCTCAGCACGAGGCTTGAAACACAGAATTGTTTCTCTTTTGTTTCATAGTCCTGCCTGAAAGCAACACTTTGCCTCTTCAGTGCTCAGAATATGCCTTTAAAACCACCTCTGAAGGTGAATGATTTCTTGAATATTACGAATATTCAAAGAGTAATCAAAAATATAGGTTTATAGGCAATGGTCTGAGTCAAAACCATGGATAGCAAATTCACTTATCATAGCTGGTTATTAATATTTATTAATTTCATTAGTGGTATGACTAAGTTGTTTATAGAACAAGTCTGTGCTTTGTCTTGGCACAGTGGGACATAGAGCATTACCCAGATTGAATTGTCTCTTTTTTAATCAACCGAAAATGAGTTGTATTTGATATTAAACTGATTTCTTCACTGCAGGGCATCTCTCCCTTTTATTAGACACTGCATTCAGGTCTTTAAAAGAAAACTTAATATAATCACTCCCTCATTGTTAATGACTTGTATTAGAAATGGTAGTTTAGAATACCAGAATACATGTTCCAGAATACCAGTCCATCTGAGGATCAGGTTCCAGATTGACACCTCTATTATCTAGTGAAGAGGAATACAAGAAAATGCATAGATGGTTAGTATTAGGCTTAGGTTTTTTAAAGTTGAGGTTAGTCGAATGGCTATTTGGGCCATTAGAAATGTTCCTAAGTGTGACATAGCAGATACATTCCTGTTTGGAGATGCCTAAATTTTTCTAATGTTTAAATAGCTAATGACTGTCTTCATACTTTTCTTGAAAAAGCTGATTAGTTCTTATTCAGACAGGCAGTGTTTTACTCACCAGAACAGAGTAATTAGTCTGGGCTGCAATTGCATCCTTAAATTTCTGCATCTTCTCAGAATCCTGTTGGGGTAATCAGAATATATGTATTATTGGATCAACTCTCAAAGAAATAGCATCTTCCATCAGCTAACTGAGAGCCAAATAGCAAGCACCCCAAATGTCCTTTGCTCTTGGCTCAGGTGTAAGTGCTCTGATAAACGAAAAGCCACAGGGATCAATGTCCTGATCAGCACCAACACCTGATCCTGCAAGGGGAGAGCAGGTTTTATGGTGGTGGTTTGTTTGAAGTCAAGAAAAGGCTTGCAGTTCCTTTTGTGTATTCCTTCCATGGATTTTGGGGGTGTAGATTATCACCAATAGAATCACTATGTTTGAGGTAGGGAAAATAATTGCCTAGTGTAATTCAGTATTTTCAAAAGAGGCACTGTACCTTCTCCAGAAGGGTTTATCTAGACAATGACAGCGATATTAATGAAAGCCACTACTGTTATTTTACTAGCCAGTCAAAAAATTATTCCCATGTGTGAAAGGGCATCTAGAACTTTCCAAGGCTTCATCTGCAGATGCTTCACATTTCAGATAACAAGCTAGTAAATTTTAACTCCTGTCAAATGGCAGCCTTTTATATTAAGGGAATGATCTTAAGAAGTGTTGCCTTGCTGTACATCAAGTCCAACACTGCAACTCTGGGAGACCCTGAAACAGCCAGAAATGAGTGGGTCCCCAGATAAACAGGGGACCTTCAGCTCCTATGGACGATGAATGATCTTTTGAACAAAGAATTCATTTTAGAAGCAAGTCAAGGTCACCATCAGGGACCTTCAAAATACAAAGTCTGATATTTTTTTACAAGGCTAGAGCTAGGCTTAGTTCCCTTGTACAGATTAAATTACCAAATGCAGTCTTTAAATCTGATTAATTTACAGCTATTCAAGCAATCCCTGGTGTCAGTAGCTGCTGCTTTTACAGCAAGTGTCAAATACATGAAATATTTCTCCTGCTGAAGAATCAATCTGACTCAATCAATCTTTGGTGACTGTTCAAGCTATCGTTTGAGGATAATTTTTATTTGTATCAGAAGAAAAACATTTTTAATTGGATTTGAATTAAAGCTATTAACAAATAATAATTTGGGGAATTCAAGGCTACTTACACCAGGTTGTGCATCTCTTTGTCCAGAAAAAAGAATTAACTCCTTCACATTCAGAGCAGTGCATAGGTCTGAAGAAATCACCTTGGAATAGGGTTGTATTAAATTAATTTTCTAATGCTTCTGTGATACTAATATATATGTAGTTTTGCATGGAAAGATGATGTTCACATCAAAACAAAGATTTATTAATGTCTGTTGGAAAGAACAATCCCAGACCAGTATAAGTATCCTTTGTCTCTCTCGGTGGAGAAGAGGCCAGGAAAACTATCACTGGGCTGGTTTGCATTATGATTACAGGTTTTCCAGTGGAAATGAAGCCATTATTCCCCCTATTCTGTATGGCCAAGGCATGCAGTAGAAAGATATGGGGGCTGAGACTGAGCTTCATCTAGACATACATGGCATTCTTCAGCTTGCTTATGTAAAACAGGACAGTTTAGGGGGCTGGGAAAGGGGAGCATGATCTCAGATTTGGGTGGGGAAAAGGTGAGAAATGCTGAAACTCTGGGTGAGTTACAGGAGTCAGTAAGTGTTGGAAGAAAGCAGGAAGGAAGAGAAAGTTCCAAGGAGTAGAAAGATCTATTGAAACAACACGGTAGGAGCATGCTGGCTCCTGCCAGGAGCGCAGCCAGTGTGCCACAGCATGGGCTGGGACTATGCTGAGTGCCCAGGTGGGGAGAGGAAAGTGCACAGAAAACAGGAAATTCTGATGAAATGGGATTGAGAACCATCTTGTCAGACAGGACACTGATAGCAAATAAAAACAGCCTCTTCTTGCCCACTGTGTGGTAGTCACTATTATGTGCAATAGTATGGCCATGGATTACCCACCCAGCAGAGGGAGTTACTGCAGGTTTTTTGAGTTATTTTACCATGGGACTTACTTGAGCTTTGTCCATCAGGAGCTAAGTTCTGGGCATGATAACTTTAAGGAAATTGAAGAAGCTGTGGATGAAGAGAGGACTTATCTGGGCAAATTTTCATAATCCTCTGGGATGTTAGATCTTGCTTTATAATTTTTCATTAATTTACACCTAATCTATAGCCCACAATGCTTCTAGCAATGTTATGCTAAATTCCAAAGAACAGCCATGTGGGCTGTTGCCACTGGAATAGGCTTACTGTGAAAAATAAACTGTATTGTGGCAGCATTTTGCATCTAAACAGCCACCTGGAAATTCCCTGTACAGCAGCGCAGTGCAGTGGGTGGAAGTGGCGCAGAGACATTGAGGGAGGCTCTCCAGGGATGGTGGGCAGGACAGTGCACAGGGCTCTTTGTGCAGCTCTGCTCTCAGCTACCTCTTTGCATCCTCATCTACTCTGCACAGCACTCATGCTTCTGGCAAACAGATGGTGGTGTCCCAAAGAAAGGCAATTTTAATTTTTCTTTTTGCAGTATGGAGAGTTGTTTGATTAGTTTGATGAAGATTTTCATCATCAAGGCTCAGCTCCCTTGAGGATCCTATAAGACTTAGTCTATTTGGTAGAAACATCCCTTTAAAACAAAAAATATTAGCTAGAACCTATCCAATATCTAGAAATGAAAGCATGGGAATTACACCACATATTGCAGGCTGCAGCATAACTAAATACTGCAGGAGACCTGCCAGGCAATTCCCCTGGTGTGGCAGCTTAATGATCCTGAACTTTGCATGTTCAGCCTAGATGTCTCCAGGGAACTGAATTTGGACCTTATGATAGAACATTCATAAGACAGTACTAAATCTAAAATGAGATGTGTTTCTTATAAAGTCACATTTAAGTACCTCAATCTTTTGGATGCTTAAATTAAAGAAAAGGGAATATTTATATTTAGCTTAATGGTTGGTCTGTACAAAAAGCAAAATCCTGTAATGCTTGCTACCTTGCCCTACGCCTTTCTGTTCTCAGTTAAGAGTTAAAAAGTGAGATACTTGGGACCATGAATGCATTATTTACTTAGTGTGTTGGCAAAGAGGACAGAGGGAGCCAGCCCAACATACCGACACAGCTGCCTTGTCACCTGCCATTGCTTTGACAAAAGCCAATGCTTCAGAGGTAGCAGACCTAATATTGTCCACCCGGCCCTCATCAAATCGGCGCAGGGAAGCACTTTCATAGGTGGGGACAAGCCTCCTGTGGCACCTGAGAGAGTGAAGGAGGAAAAACAAAGAATGGTTATTTTCAAAAGGTCGTAAAGATTAAGAGAAATATAGGCTTGGTACATTTTATTGTTACAGCCACACTTTTATTTCTTGCACAGTATTCATCTTAATGTTGATAGAATTCTGTAAGAAACTTTAAAAAGATGGATGCTCACTCATCTCTAACGTGAAGAGCTGCATACAGCTGTATATGTTTTAGTTATGCATTGCCAGTAAAAAATGAGTTGTTGTGTAAAAACAAGGCTAGTAAAACAAAAATTTACTGAAAGATCTCAAGGAATGTTTTATTTGTACTGCATCATAAAATAATTGTGTAATTAATCATTTACTTATGGGCTTGAAATAAGTTTTATTTAAAACAAGAGAAAATGCACCTCCTGTGGCACCTGAGAGAGTGAAGGAGGAAAAACAAAGAATGGTTATTTTCAAAAGGTCGTAAAGATTAAGAGAAATATAGGCTTGGTACATTTTATTGTTACAGCCACACTTTTATTTCTTGCACAGTATTCATCTTAATGCTGATAGAATTCTGTAAGAAACTTTAAAAAGATGGATGCTCACTCGTCTCTAATGTGAAGAGCTGCATACAGCTGTATATGTTTTAGTTATGCATTGCCAGTAAAAAATGAGTTGTTGTGTAAAAACAAGGCTAGTAAAACAAAAATTTACTGAAAGATCTCAAGGAATGTTTTATTTGTACTGCATCATAAAATAATTGTGTAATTAATCATTTACTTATGGGCTTGAAATAAGTTTTATTTAAAACAAGTAAATGCATCAAGTGCGTGAATGAAAAGAAGAAAACTAAAAGGGGAGTAGGGTGTTAGTTGTGAGCTGGAATGAAAACCCTCACAACAATTAGAACAGATTATGAAGATTGTTACTTAATTTGAGTCCAGGTATACAGATACTAGTCCTTGCTTCAGGAGACAGACTGTGTCTTCCAGTTGCAGCAGGTGGTCTCAGAACACAACTGTTCCCTAAGGTTTTTATGGCAAGCATGGGATTTATATCATGGCTGGGATCCAGACGAAAATCTTGGCTAGGTCTTTGTTGAAGTTTTATTAATGGAATATGCAAAATGGATGTTCAACAGATGTTCAACAGTATATGAAATGTGTTAAGCATCTCTGGTCTTGACCAGGCAAAGACCACTCTAGGATTTAATTTGATGTAATAAAGAATTATTTGTTTAATAGGCTGTTCTGCAGGAAACCATGCAACCTATCTCTACCCTGGAGTTCTGGCAATGCAGAAAGGAGCTTTTAACTGTGGTAAGACTATGGAAATTAGGGGATATTATCAAATCTTGGGATGCCTGTGAAGAAGGGAACAGCAGTAGTTAGTGCTCTCTGTAGGAACTCCAGTCTGATAAGCTGTGCTGTAGTGGATGCTTTTCAGCCTGTGCCAGAGATGTGTGTGTGGTTACTGCTGTGGTTCCTCCCAAGCTACCCACGAGGCAAGGCAGTGGTGTTTCTGCCCCAGGGACCTGAGCTCCCCAGCTGCTGCTGCTCCAGATGTCCCTGCCACATTCCCTCACCTTCTCAGTGCCAAGCACAGGGACAGCTGTCGGGAGGGTACTGGCTGGGAATGGCATGTGTGGGACACAGGGATGGGAAGGCAGAGCAAGAACAGGGAAAGGGAGAGAAGAAAAGTACTCTCTCCCAGAACCAGGTATCAGTTTCTATCTTGTCTGCCCTACAGTCATTAGGCAAGATCACTCATTTTCATGCAGGATGCATTTGTTTGAATGTTGAGGAAAAAATGGACCCTCTGTATAAAATCCCACTACCTTGGGTACCTTGTTCCTATGAATTTAACTAACCTTACCTGTAGAATGCCAGCTGAAGTGCTACTTGAATATAGGCATCTGGGCTAATCTTCTGTTTCTTAATGAATTCCTTTCCATAGTGCTCAAATTTGTAGGCTATAAAATCCAGATTTTCCACTGCCCTGGAAAACAAGCAGAAGGCAGTTACTGCTGGGGTAGATGTAAAAACCTCACAGAATTGTTAAAGTTGGAAAAGAACTCTTAGATCATGAAGTCCAACCATTACCCTACCCAACCTTGTTCACCACTAAACCATATTCTGTCCCATTTCTGTTTGCAAATAAAACCCAGACATCTTTTCCTGCCAGTACCCTCTTAGAGGTGAGTGGTCTCCTGCTGTCCTGCTCTGCAGACAGTCCTGGCCTTTGGTAACATGTTCCTAGTCAGTAATTTTTATTCATACAGATTCTACACCAGGCTTGTTGTCTGCAACCTTAACTGTAGCATTCAAGTCTGTTCATTTGAGTAGGACATCTTTTTAAAAAACAAACAAACGACAAGAAAAGAAACCAAAAATCCAGCAACCTCCACTCAACCTTAATGTTTCCACCCCTGAGGCCCAAACAAGGGTCTCCTTTGTTATTCACAAATTTCTGAGAGATTTACTGGTGTGAGAATTGGGTGCATTTAGGACCTGATGAAGGCCCTATGCTCCTTGCAAGATTCAATTTAGAGGACTACTACCGTTATTTAAAGGAGTTATTCTACACCCTGAATGTTCTCACTCATATGTATCTTTCTAGCCACTTTAAGGTTTTATCTAATGCTACCACACTGGCCATGCTTACAGCTGACCATGCAGACAGTGTATTAATTCTCTACAAAGAGATCACAGGCCTGAATGTTGAGAAAAAAATCTTATTGTTGCCCCCACCCCCAAAGATCATGCAAATCTTTGATTGCCTGGAAACAGAGTCAGAAAAACTAGACTTTGTAGGAGCAACATGAATGTAAACAAATTACATTCCTAAATTCAAATTGTTTATTCAAACCAGTCTGCTGTCCTCTATATGTACCCCTATTGCCCTGGCTTTAGATTGAGTCAGCTCAAACCCATAAGACACCAAAACAGAGGACCTGCATTGTTTGCATCCTGTGCAAATATGGGCAAGCTGTTTTTCCAGCGGCTTTTAGAGTTCCTAATATTTACATGGAAGGAAAACAATGGTAATGCAATTCCTGAATACAGACAAGTAGCTCCAGCCCTTAAGGGTCCTATCCTGCACAGAGATGCTAGGTGTGTGCAGTTTGGTAAGAAGGGGAGGAGCAGGAAGACAGGAGGCCCCCAAGGAGGGAGCCCATGCAATGTGCTGGGTAGTTTCCAGCTGAGAAAAATGAGGCATCTGTTCTACCTTTGGAGTTTTTCTGCTGCTGATGCCAAATGTGTCTGAATGTCAGGGGAACACTTCCATCTTAGTCTCCGTGGAGCAGGAAGCTCGCTCACTGAATCAGCTCGGACTAATTTCTTGGAACTTTCTTTCCTGTTGGTGTGTGAGACAGAAGTCATTAAGGTCACAGGAATAATCCATTTATTAAACACTGTTCTTTTAGCAGGTGAATTACTGCTTTTCAACTGTTTTACATGTCTTAGTTCCCCTGTGCATCAGGGGAAATTTGCCAGTGGCAGAGGCTTCCCAGGGGCTGGAATGGGTATGAAATGCACAGAAAGGGAACTCACATGTGCCTGAGCAGGTATTCAGCACACTGCACCATTACGATGCCATCGAAAGGGGAGTGTTCGCACACGGTCCCGCAGAGCCCGTCTCTTCCTACCACAAACTAAACAAGGAGAAGATAGGTGCAACATACACAGGGAATAAATCATGTTCTGGGTAAGTTATCCATGATGGAAACCTGAAAAAAGGTGTTATTGTTCCCCCGTGGTTTTCTTGTTTCTCATATCAGGAACTTCCTTGCCCTACAGATCAGTGGGTGACTTACAGATTTACTGCAGGAGACTTGCTTGTCCTGTGAAAGGTGTTGCACTGAATTCTTTTCATGCTGCTACTTGGGACTGAATTCTGTGAGAGTGTAAATGTTAGCAATTCCCAATGGAATCTGAAAATTTGATTTATCATCTGCTTTATGCAACATAAAACCATCAATGCAGAGACAGGCCAGGGTTCTCCTTTCTTTTGAGGACAACAAAACATCTGTATCTGGGAAATCCTCAGGATCCCATTTTATTGCAAAGCTCATCCTTATTTGGTAGCTTTCTCATAGCTTATTTTGAATCTTTTCTTTTTAGACGCTTTCTTAATTTCATTTCCCTTATTTGTCTTCATTCTTAATTTCATTGTGTACACATGGCACTGCTGGTGGCAACCTCCTGCATTCGAGTTCTGTGATACACCCATGCAATTTGGAACTTCTGCATCTCATACAAAAGCAGATGTCTAGGCCAATACTGCAGCTTTCCTGTCCTTTTCCTGGGCTTTTCCCCACACTTGTTTTGAAGTGCATTTGGTTGGACTTCACCCACTTAGCTCTCTCTTGCACATTTGTATCACATCCTGCCTCCCTGCTTTCCATGAGGTTTTCAGAGAGTGGGCATGATGCAAAAAGCTCATCTGGACATTTTCTGAACCCTTATTGCAGAGGTGAGGAAGAATATGGAGAGAAAGAACAAATTTTACTGTGAGAATGGCTTCCTACATAATCTGTGTTTGCATAAAAGGAAATGGAATCTTATTTCCCTAAGAATTTCTCTTCACCTTTGAACTACTTTGGCTTGAATACATCTGGACAGATTAAGGTCTCTCACACTCTGTGCAATTTTATTTGCTTTCTGCTGCCTTATGATAGTAGACAAAAAGAAATTGTTGTTTATTCTCATCTGCTTGAAATATCTCAACACTTGACCCTGCAAATAACAGGGTTCTAGCTGTTCTGAAGACAAGAAGTTTGTTCTTCAAAAGAGTCTGCTAATAATGTAATTTGCAGTGGAATTAATCAGGAATGATTACTGAAATATATTTGCTCTTGGGTAAGTTGGTGCAAGTGAAATTCTTTATGGGAGAACAGGTGGGAGACGGAACAGAGGGCATGGTTGAGCTTATGGATCAAGATATTCTGGCCTTGGTCAGGTACAGATTGTGGGATAAGCAACCAGAGATATGAAAAGAAGAACTAGAAAAGTACAGCATATACAGCTATCAAGTTTTTTGAAATTACGTGGTTTTGTAAGGCTGCCAAGTAACACATACAGTAGGCTGATTGTGTAACTAGTGGGAAATTCTTGCCTAAGGATGTAACTGCTTGGGGCCACAAAAAGATATTAACTGCTCTGTGATAACAATAAAACACCTTCGACTTCTTTTTGCCTTGACTTCTCACATCCCTCCTTCAAAGTCCTGTCTCTCAGTCGTGGCAATTATTTTAGGGGTTTCTCTTTTCATGTTGCTGTTCTTAGATATGGCAAGAGCAAAAAGCGTTATGTAAGCAATGTATCAGCCAGGGTTTTTTCAATTTTTCATAAGGTGTCAACATTGTTGACAGTTGGAGATTAATACATCACTTCACTCTGGGTCTATTGCAAAGTGTGGAAATAACAGTGCGACGCTTTAAAATATGACAATCAAAATGTGATGGGGAAAAAGGCTGGAGAAGTCAATACTTAAAGAAAGTCTCAACGAGGATGCCATTAAATGAGTAAACAGTCTGTTAAGTGAGGATTTAAACACGTGCCAAATTATCAGCAGTAGCATTTCTAGGATGTCAGAAAAATATCTAAGAAGAGGAAACAAAGGAAAATACTGTGCTCTTTTTTTTCCATTCTGGGATAATAGGCCAGCATTTTCATTCCATTTGACTCAGTGTAGAAAAATGAATTGTTTTTTTATATCCAATGTCTACCTACTCATACATCTGAGTATCTGTGTTATCTCAAGAGCAAAGGGCAGCTTTGGAAAAGGTGGAAGTGTCCCTGCTTCCCCTGCCTTGCAAGGGACAGCCTTGCTCACAGCAATCCTGCCCAGGCAGATGCTGACACCACCTTCCCCTCTTTCTCCCACCTGACTCTAAGTGGCCCCCAGCACAAGACAACGTGCAAGTAACGTCCCAGTGCTGTAAGGTTTTTACCTGCATAGGCTTGTCATACCAACGATTGGCCCCGTTTTTATGGTAGCCTCCTCCATGCAGCATGTGCAATGCCATGTTTGTGTTGTTGAGCTCCACCCCACTGGGGCTGTCCAGGCACACCAGGCATATGCACCGTTCAATCATGTCTAGAGAGTCGCGGTTGGTGGAGTCTGGGGATAAAAGAGTGAAATGTTCACATCCTCTTACCTCTGAGTACAACACTGGCTGGGGAACCCTCTGCCTTGGAGAGCACTGAAGATCTGACCCTGGCTCTGCAATGAGCTGCTGTCTGCAGAGCTTCTCTGAGCAGCAGATCATCTCAGTGCCAGGGAACCTTATACCAAGGCATTAATTCCTGTGTTAACTTTTGTAGCTCAGTGTAGCTCTCACATGATTCAATAATAACTGCTTTCTTTTTCTGCCTTTCATTTCCTTGAAGTAATTATATTACAAAATAGATCTATTTTACTCTTAAAGCCACCATTGCTTACTTGCTTTATAAATAATAGTTACAGGGGACAGGTGGAAAATAGCAAATTTCAGAGCTCACGCTATTGCTGCAGTATTCTGCTCTGGAACAGCAGAGCTTAGAGTGTTTTGTGTTTTCTCCCATGAAAACCCTTTTCAGAACAAGGAACAGCAGGGTCTGTGTTGGTTTTGTCTTATTGTATTAAAACCCTCTTGTCTGTCCTGTCTCTGATCATTAGCTTAGATGGCCTACATCACATGAGGAAACATTTGCAGATGAGGTTTTCAGGTTTAGTTTTTGAACGTGGGTTTGCCTAAACTGTGGGTTGCCATGTTACACTGCTGTCCTGTCAGTACTGTACTGCTGAATAAAATGGGCTTTTGTGGAAGTCTTTCTCTTTCCTTTCCCTATCCTGACACTCTTATATGGTTGGACTGCTGGGGTATTTTTACCTTGACCTCAGTGCTTGCCTCCTTATTTCTGGTATATTTCTGTTTCTTTGTCTAACCCAGAAATATTACAAAGGCTCAGGGTTTGTTTGCATCTGAGGACCAGGTTGAACCATAGGAAATATTTAAATGTGACCATTGCTTACAGTTCCTCATTGAAAAGATCAAGTGTGCAACCTATAACAATAACTTGTTTCATTTAAAAACGTATCAAATAATTAATTGCTGTTTTATGGTTGCTAACAAGATCAAAGGAAAAAGGGATTTCAAGCATCGACATAAAAATCCTTTTGCTCTTAAGAGATCAGCTTTCATCCTCTGGTTTTGCTAGATTTTGGTGTAAATGTGAACTTGTTTCAGAATGTTCTAAACAAAAGATATGAATTCAGATTGATCAAAACTTATTTCAAATCTAGGCTAAGTTCAACAAATATGTGCTCAATTCAGAAAACTTTTAGCTGAAAGAATGGAAAAATATTTAAAATTAAACAATTCTGATTCTCATTTGAAATATGGGGCCATTTCAATATGTGCATGTTTTCAAGGTTTGCAAGTCTGTAAAGTAGCTTGATTGTCTGAAAGGGCAGCATTTTTTCATAGTAAGAAATAATGCACCTTTCCAGAAGGAGTAACATAGGTTAGTCAAGAGCTAGAAAAAAACCCAGACACTTGTTACCATCCAGGTTCATTCTTCAGATGCTGAAAAAGAACCCAAATATGCAAGAAATTAAAAATGTATGAAGAGAAGGAGAGGCAAGTGATAGCAGTGGCTGAGAAGGAAGAGGGGCAGCTGTGGCCTTGTGCAGGTTATGGTAAGGTACTGCCTATTGCTGTTTGGTGCCTCCTGCAAGGCACCATTAGCAGCTGGGGCCCAAGGGACAAAGATGGTCAGTCTGACTTTTTGCAGGCTCCCTGGGGACCTGGTGGAGTGCAGAGAGGGTTGTGTCCCCTTGCCAACAGAAGAGTCCTAGGGAAAGCAGCTGGAGCACCTGCCAGCTCCTACAAAAGCTTGAGACAAGAGATTGTGTTTGATGGGGCGTGCAGAGAGGTTGCTGCCCTGCAAAATTGTGAACACCAGCATCCCTTGGGAGTGTCTTCAAAAGCATTCAGAAGCTTTATAAGAGAGAAGACACATCCCTGTCCACTTGGCTGTAAAGCTTTTCTAGTATCTCACACTTGCAGGGCTCACCGTAATTGTGGTATTTTTTTTCATTGATGATCAGAACAAAGGATGGAAAGATCCTTGTGAATGGAACTTGCCCCGTATGCATCAGCTTCTGGTGCTTGCAGACAGGCATCTTTGAGGAAAACCAGCTTGGATAGTGATTTACAAACTGCTCACAGCTTGCTCAGCATTCTGCTTTCCACATTTGATAGGTATATATATATTTCATTGTGGCTGCTACCACACATCTTTGACAGATATGAAGCCCTTAGTCTGACATATGGCTTCAGGGTATCTGGAGTGTAGGTATTAGAGTGAATAAAATTAAGCTGTGCCAGAAACACAGAAGCAGGGGAAAGATGCTTTTACAGAAGGAAACAGACATATGCAGAGGGCTGATCAAACTCTGAAAAATTATCATGTGAAGCAGTCAATAAATTGCATGAGAACTCATGAACCATGATCTAGGATTGAAAATATCTGCAGGAGGAGCTAAAACAACAGAAAGTAAGACCAAGCCTAAAGTCTGCAAGACTTTCTTCCTTTTCTTTCTTTTTTTCTTCCTTTCTAATGCACAGTTGCATTGAATTGGCCAGCCAACTGTTGGTTATTTTGGGTTTTTTTAAAATTTAGTCTTAGAAAAAAAACATGAAAAGACAATTTTGAATCAAACTCAGATGTAGAATGCGTGGGGCTGTAGCCAGTCACTTCATACAGAATTAGGTTCCTGTACTTAGGAAGAGCGAGCTAGTTCTGCAGCCTGAAGGCAGCTACAATGCTGAGTGTGTTTATAAATCAGTGATGGCTGGGTTTATTACAATCTCTTGGCCATTTTCTCACCTAGAAGACCTATGCTCTACTTGCAGGGCTGTGCAGGCCCATGGGTATAACTCCCTCACAGCCTCTGCAAAGCACTGCACAGCTTTTCTGTCCCAAAGCATTCTCCCTTGCCCTGCCCAGCACAGACCAGCTGTGGAGTGACTCACTCATCCACATTGCTTCCCAGATTCTCTCTTCCTCTCTTATTTATTGTTGCAGGAACATTTCACCATCACAGATAAGAAAAGGGCTGATAATGATCATATATCCATGTGTAACAGCAATGCATTTACCTATATAGAAGAGCTGTGCTAACATGAAGAGTCTGGGATGGGATTCCTGCATAGATTAGAGAAGGCTCACATCATGGTGCTATGAGGCTTACTAGTGCAGAATCTGGTTTTTTTTCAGCTGCATAACTGAGCTGCTTGCCTTCTGATTAAAATTAATATTTTGGGAAATGCCAGGCAATCTAAAAACACTACGGTGAGGGTTTTGCTAGTTTTTGTTGATTTTTCTTTTTGTTTATCTTTTGGATGATGTAGGTTACCAAAGACAATTTTGTTGGAAGTTTGAAGGCATTGACGGTTATACTTAGTATGGCTTAAAAATAAATCATTAGGTGTTCACCTCAATTTTCATTAAAAATTTTTTGTCTCCTCCTTTAAAAAGAAATGGTGGGAAGAGGAGGGGAAGGCTTAAAGATGAGACTAATGCTATGTAATATTGCTGAAATAATGGCCAGGACTCTGTGTGTGTATCTGTACTAAGTTTTATAAGCACAGAGATACTTGAATTAAAAAAGGGGAATCTTCCTTAGGAGGATAAACTTATTTTGAGGCTCTTGGCAACTCTTGTATATTCCAGGGCATTAGTAAAACAGCAATATTTTCTGTGGCATTGATGAAATGGAGATAGAGAGATGAGTTAATGTTTTCTTCTGGATGAAAAAGTAAATACTTATTACATGTAAAATGTCAAAAAGAGGGCGTTTTTATCACTTAGCCTCAGGGTAAAATACATAAGGTGTGATGTGATGTGAAAGAGGCCACTAACCCCACCCTTTATTTTCATTCATTTCCAAGTTTGACATTCAAGTCCAGAATTTGAGACAGCTAAATCTGCCTGCTGGAAAATACAGAGAGCAGTCCCCAGATAATAACTGGTGCCATCTTTCCTAGCTAGTTAAGAATTGGTTGAATCAGCCCTGGTACCTTCTCCATTGATTAGAGAGAGTACACAGCTAGATTCAATAGGTGTTTAACTTGCAGGTGTTTTTGTTGGATAAGATCAATAATATCAAATAGTTGCCAAAAGCTAAGAGGATACATCATTCCTATTGGTACAAAATGGAGATAAAGAAAGAGACAAATCACAAAATCTGATGTAATGTAATTTATGTGATGAAAAACAAAGAATGGAGTGAGAGTTATTACATGGCATAACACTTAAACATACACAGCCAAAGGGTCAAGCTATTTCTGCTGCTCCCCTGGCAACACACATCTTACAGAGTTTGCTACCGCTGGAAAAATTCAGCAGTGGGGTTGCACACTCAGTCCTGTGTTTGCTGGGATGTGTGTTTCTCAGCAAAGAAAAGGCAGTGATGGTGAGGAGGAAGATGATGAAGAGAAAGCTGGGGTTGCTGCAGCTAACCTTTCATAAGGGTCATCCTGGCCTCTGCCCACTCTGTTCTTCCGTCTGTTGTCAGCAGGCCAATTGGAGGCAGCATTTCCTCTTCATTCTCTGCCATTTTTGCTATCTTTTGTAACTGAGTGAAAAGATCTCCCTCACTGAGACGACGGAAATTAATGACAACATCCAAAACAAAAAACTGCAAAAAAATTACAGAAGTCAGAAGATCAGTCAGAAGTGGTTTGGACCCTTTGTGGTCCAACATTTTGCTGTCACCTGGGTAGGTGCTGAAGATGCCTGGACAGCCAGGCCTGCATGCAATGCAACACAAAACCACTGGGGAATGGCCCAGGGCTCACCCCTCCTGTGTTTTAACACCAATGTAGTGCCAGTTGCCATAGGGGACTTATGTTGTATGTGGGACTCAAATAAAATACACACTATTTGAATAAGCTTAAAAAACCTTGGAGACGTAAAATCAGGCAGTGTGTAAGTAATTTTCATGGTATTATTTGTTTAAACATAACCTAGAGAATCTAGAATATTTCCCGTGCAATTTTTCCTGGAAAAGCAGAAAGCACTTCACTGGAAGCTACCTCCTCATTCCAAGAGCACCTACAGGCATGGCTCCAGTACTGCAAATAGTCAAGCTGGGCTGTAAGGTGCTGTGCCCAGGAAACAGACTGTGCTGCTCCCTGGTAATTACTGGTTGGGGCAGATTCACTCTACCACTTGAGTATTGCTGCCTGCACCTGTGCTAACTTCTTCAGGCATAGCTTCAGGCCCCTACATGGTGTCTATGCCATGCATAGGTGTGATAGTGGTATAGTGGCCGTGAACTTGACTTTGCCAATACTCAGCTGTCATGAGAAGAGCATTTCCAGCAAATGCACTCTAATAGGATTCTTTTTTCTCTGTGGTTTCATCACTGTTTATTAAACACTTTTGTTTGAAAGAGAAAGCAAATAAATTCTGCCACACTCCTCCATTCTGCATCGCTGTACTTGGAACATAATGTGGGCCAAGGACAAAAATGCTGCAGAAGCATCTTTTAGAAATATTGACTGCAAATGCTTTGTAAGAAGTGAGCTCATATGTAACACACTAATTGCACTTCTGAACAGAGATTAGATTAGGCTCTTCTGGAGTGAATTTAAGCAAATCAAGAGATATAGAAAGGTATGAAAAAAGAAAATTACCTGATTGTTGCAAGCAACAATGATGTGCTCTGGTTCTGGCATTACATTGCTTTTCTGGGCCACGAGGGTATCTTTGGTAAGTCCTGGAAGACGATAGGAGGAAAAGAGTCCATAGTATTGCTTCATGCAGAGAGGATGGCCAGACAGCTGTCCACGAGAAAAATCAGTAGGTAAAGCATGGCTGCAGAGAAGGAGAAAAAGCCAGAGGAAAAGAGGGGAGAGAGACAGAAAGGAAAAGAAATCTTATCTGTCCTTTGTTCTGTTACAATTAGATCAGGTATAACACAAATTGAATAATAAAATGAGATTACAGTATAAGGGAAATAGATGAATTCCCATACCAAAGTTAAATACATCATTCCTGGCAGCTTCATGCATATTCATTAAGCAATTGCATTATCCTCTAGTGGCAATGGAAATAGCAGGTCACAAGCAGCTTTGCCATGTGCATGGGAAGCCTGACTAGCTGGGACCCCAGAAACCTGGCAGGACAGAATTCAGCAGAACAGCTGGGAAAGACCAGCACCTCAAAGAAAGGGACTGATGAAATTCCCTGCAAATCACAGCAGTCATGTACTGTGCTGACTGGTTAGAGTGTGTGTGAGAGGGCCTTGCTTGACAAACAGGAATGACTTGGGCAATACAGTGAGAATTTTCTGTTTTCTGCAGGTCCTCACTTTTGTACTAATTTTCACTTAGACCCATGGAGTAATATGTGCTGAAAACCTTTTTTTTTTTTTTTTTTTGATTGGAAGGTAGGTGAAACCAGCATCTCTTTACAAGCTTCTTTAGTGGCCAGGGGAAAAAAAAGAATTATCACAGTCACAGTTATGACTATGGATTGTAAAATACCCCACTGACACTGCAGCGGGAAATAATGGTGCTGCTGGTCAGGAGAGGCTGCCGAGACCACAGGAGGAAGAAAATCTTACAATGCAGAGATTTTCCTTCTGCAAAAGAGAAATAAGCTTCCAACTTGTCAGACAGGGGGAGGGATAAAGAAGCAGGCAAGGAGGTTTACTCTCGTACAGCTTATGAGGGGTAATATTTTATGCTAGTTCATCTTGGTTAACCACACCTTTAGAACTGTTGCAGTTCTAAACTAGGGATATTCGCTTTAGTTCCCAACTCCAAATTCTCTGTTTCACTTATTTCCTTGTACAGGTGCATAATACATTTCCCCAGTGTTTTTATTCAGAAAGTAACAAGAGCATAAGTAGCTTATTTTTACTGGCTACTGAGCCAGCCTTTCTGTGGTGAGACTCCACTCCCTGCTAGGATGTGTTATTTCTCTGGGGGGAGGGAGGTGGGACAGTGTTGTTTCAAGTGGAGAGTGCCAGGAAAGGTGTGCAGGCTGTGTAACCACAGTGCTGCTGCCCTGTGGGTGTGGGGAGCAGAGGCTTCCTCTTGTGTTCTCAGTAACTCTGTTAGGCAAATTGTCTGTGCCCTTTTGGGCTGCATCATTCCTGCCAGAGTGATGACTGCCAGCCATCAAAAAGGATCCTTCTTCAATCTGTTAGACCGCAGGAATACAGCAGAAAGGGCATAAAATATTGCTGAAGCACTTGCCCTGAAGCATGCCGGGGCCCCAGCCCTTCCCCATGGTGGAGAGGTGCAATACAGCCCAGCTTTGTACTGAGAGCAGCCTTGAATCAGAAGCCCTGTGCATACTCAGGCTCTCCTTCCAAGCCACTTACGTGTCCAGTAAAGCTTTGTAGTCTTGCACTCCTGAAATGAGATTGGCAGCAAACCTGCAAGTGGCAGAGAGAAGTGACATCAGTCTTTTGTCATTTGGCAACACTGGGCTGTTTCTGGGAGACAGAGGAAAGCCTGAATGATTGATGACACGGTATAAGGAGAGAAAGTCTTCTGGCTTGGCAAGAAGAGCTCCCTGCCCCCACCCAAAACCTAAATTAATTCATGTCAAGAGAAATATGAAATCCTAGAGACAGTCCCTTCAAATAGTTAAAAAGACTACCACAGGAGGAAGCCTGAAAGTGCTTATTTAGAGAATGGGAGCAGAGACTGAATATTTAATAGAATCCTCACATGGGTTTTAACATCAATACTTATAACCTGTCCAGCATTAGAGTACTTCCTGTCCTAAGCAGATATTCTTTTTGCAGAGCTGTGGACAGGTGTATTTTTCCCTGACATTGTCCGTTTGCGCTGTGTCAGAATGGGAGGCTCTGAGAAAAATATTTCCTTGTTAAAGCATGTGCATTAGAAAATGCAAAGTGGAGGTTTTTTGAAAGCTGTGTGCACAGTAAATTTAGTCAGTAATGAATGGAAGCGTTTATAGTTATGTTTAAAGTAAAGTAAAAAGATGCATTAGCTGTCTATGCAAAATGTTAAAATAATGCATATTTGTTTCAAGGTTCTGGCTGTTTTATAATAGCATAAATTCACATGCAGTTAATTATTTCAGTAATGAGCAGCTAGAGAGTGCTAAAAACAAAGAGGAAAATTACACACTATATGAAGGTAGATTTTTTTTGTTTTAAAAGGAAGAATGTTTTGGCAAAGGCTGAAGAAAGGAATCCTGTTTTAAGGGTGTCTGGAGAGGTATATTCTGTGCTTGGCTAGGTGCTTACCTTCTCACTTTTTAAATGATAGTAATTGCCCACAACAGCTCAAAGTAGAAAGATCAGTTAAGATCTGGGACTCATGGGCCTGAAGGAAGCAGTGTTCTTGGGGAAGAATGATTTCTGAATTCTTATTCTTAGATCCCCAGTGTTTCTGGTGCCCTTTTGTGCATCTGAGAGGGACAATTTAATGGCAGTGTGGCCTTTTCAGTTTGCAGGGTGGCTACGAGTCATAGTGAAGCCATGTTAAAGATTATTTCCCTTGAAACTGTGTGTCAGAAATTAGTATTTTTTTCATCACAAAGTGGTTTACTTGAATCACGTACAGTAAAAAGTTTGTAAATATTCCTTAAAAGTATAAATCCCTTGGCATTTTTTTCATGCAATGAATGTAATAGTAATGACATCTTTCTTTCTGAATATCAGTATGAGTTACCCCAGGAACACTGACCTCAGTCAGCAGGCCTCATAGGAAATCAATTTAATGGCTACAGCCCTTATTTTTTAATGAAAGTTGATTGTCTTTTTGCAAAAGCCGTACATTTAAAATATCCTTTCATTTAGCAAAAGCTGCAAAGTCGTAATACATTACCTCAGCTGGTCGTTTATGTCCTTGAAATACTGACGAGCAAAGATAATTGCGGGGCTGGAATTGACTGGGAGAGCCAGGCGGTTGTTGAGGTACATGTCATCCAGCCAGTAGTTAAACACCTGAGGGAAGGGGACACGGCGTCTTAAAGCTGCCAACAGCACACAGAAAAGCACTCTGGGGTGAGGGGACAGTGCCTGGTGCTCCTGGTGTCAGCCATGGGCTCTGATTAATGGAGCTGCTGAGCATTTTCAGTCTGGGCTCTGTGACCTCAGCTCAGCAGAAGGCAGCCGCAATTCCATAATCCTATTTCTCAATCAATGGCAATTTACAGTGTGTTCCATTAAAAACTACACAAGTTCCAGATTGTGGTGCTTTGGGTATTTTGCTGTTTGCTTCCCTCTATAAGCAGGAAATGTTTGAATACAACATGTTAACTCTTGCACAGCAATTAGAATATGTTTAAGAGAGAGACAGGGTTTTAATAGTGATGCCTTTTCTCAGGGGGTTTCAAATATTTGTGAATGATGCCAAGATGCTCCGCTGCTAACCATCAGATATTGTCCTGTAGCAAGACAGAGCAGGAGAAGAATTTCCCAAGCCTAATGGTTCAATCCTGCAGAGAGTAACACATGGATAGGGCCCCTGGAGAATTCCCTTTGTGTCCCCTGACACAAATGCAGATTGCTGATTCTTGACCCAGACAAACACACATTAAATTTCTAACCATTTTTATTGAAAACACAGATGAACAGTAACTGCATTCCTTTATGTCTAAGCACAGATTGAAGAATCATTATTTGGAAAATGGAGGCTTTCATAAGAAGATCAAATGGCCTTTCTGAGAGGGCAGGCTTTGCATATGGTAACTATAAACAACAACGAAATTATGCAAAAATAATTACAAATGCATGCATCAGTTGAAAAAGTTTTCCTCCGAGATATTTCATTGCTGTTAGAACAGATGCTTCCCCCACAGTCTCTGGAGTCTTCAGGGGAACATGCTAGAGATATACTCCTGGCAAGTTAAATTCCAAATAAACCTATTTCTAATTTACCTTAAGAATGAGGTATTTATTTTAATAGCCAGTATTTAAAACTGTCACATTTTCAGAAAATGCTTATGCATCCTTCCTCTGTAATTTTCATGCTATAAGTGTTCAAGTGAGCAGTTGTCTTCTGGAATATTATTTCTTATCAGGAACACTTTTTAAATGCTGCTTAGTTTAGCCACCATGAAGTTCTGTGATCACAATATGAAAATAAGATTGGGCAGCATTTTGTTCACAAGTTAAGCACTCTTTTAAAATGAAAGCACTGACAGCACTGTAGCCTTGTCTCCCTGACTGTAGCAGCAATTCAATGGAGTTTTTTTGTGTGTCACACACAATTCACTGACATCAGTAACAAGCCTGCAGGGTTTCACTGAATCCATAGAATCATTTTCCTTGTTGGAATGGAAGGACTCCAATAAAACTCTAATTTTCAACTGCCATATTCTAACATGGTTAATGAGGGCAGGATGAACTGGAACTTTGTGGAATGGTGAAATCTACTTTAGCTGTGGCTTACCTAACTTGCCTGCCTTGGGAAGCAGAGAGCTGAACTTTGGTAATGGCAAAGGTCTCAGCATGGTCTGTGTGATAAATGTACATGAATATACATGCATGTGCATATTTGGCAAAGTAACTACATTGGTATAGTGTGACAATGAATGGCAAATAATAGTTCAACTTTAAAAGACTAATTCCTATGATGAAGCATTCTGCCACCATGAAGTTCTGTGATCACAATATGAAAATAAGATTGGGCAGCATTTTGTTCACAAGTTAAGCACTCTTTTAAAATGAAAGCACTGACAGCACTGTAGCCTTGTCTCCCTGACTGTAGCAGCAATTCAATGGAGTTTTTTTGTGTGTCACACACAATTCACTGACATCAGTAACAAGCCTGCAGGGTTTCACTGAATCCATAGAATCATTTTCCTTGTTGGAATGGAAGGACTCCAATAAAACTCTAATTTTCAACTGCCATATTCTAACATGGTTAATGAGGGCAGGATGAACTGGAACTTTGTGGAATGGTGAAATCTACTTTAGCTGTGGCTTACCTAACTTGCCTGCCTTGGGAAGCAGAGAGCTGAACTTTGGTAATGGCAAAGGTCTCAGCATGGTCTGTGTGATAAATGTACATGAATATACATGCATGTGCATATTTGGCAAAGTAACTACATTGGTATAGTGTGACAATGAATAGTTGTCAAATTCATTGTCAGGCAAATAATAGTTCAATTTTAAAAGACTAATTCCTATAATGAAGCATTCCATTCCAGAATAACTGGAGTGGATCAGAACTTTGTGTAGATGGCTGTGCAAGGCGCTTTTAAAGCCCTATCAGAAAGAATTTTTCATTCTAATAAAAATTCTAAATCCTGTTATTTAAGGTGAAGGAAGGAATTACATCCAAAAGGTGTGTTTCCTACCAGTGTTGTGACACTTCTGTGCATGAACCTGAGTTGAAGGACTGTCCTCATTAACATCAACAAATGGCTGACATGAAAACCTAATCATGACATAGATTTTGACATAATTTTAAAAATCTAGCCTATTACATCTGAGATATTCCTTTGTCAGAATGATGCCTGTTTGCATTGACCTGCTGAAAGAAAACAGCGATATCATAGAGAACACCAGAAAGAACTTGAAAATAAGCATCATCAAACACAGCAATTATTTTTTCTACTGCATTTGCTTACCCAGTTTACTGTCTTTTCACTTCTTTCCTCAAGCATTTGCTGCAAAGATTCCCCCAGGCCTCCTGCAATTCCAAATTTCTCCACAATGGCCTTGGTCTTTTTAAATTGCTCCTCTGGCACCAAGTGTTTCATGCACTGTAGGTACATGTGTAAGGTCTGTTGCAGTGGTGGAACTGGAAGTTTTGGCACTTCCTAGTCATTAAAAAGAAATATATATTGGTGAGTAATTCTACTTGTTTCCAATCTGTTCTCTTTTGTTTTCTTATTTTTTTCCTTTTGTTGCTAATTAATATATTACATCCCTTTTAAAATGAATTTATTCTCTTTTAGGAGTTGAGAGGCCTGATTAATACAAATGTACTGTTTGCAGGCTTTGAAATGGATAGAGCAGTGGACTAGTGGAAAATTATTGAGGACACTATTCCTTGGTAAAAATTCTAGAAATCCTAGGACAAAGAAGCATGATGCAAAGAAATACCCTGAGCTAAGCTCTGGGAAATCTGCAAATACATTACAAAATAATGAAATAATATCTTAAGGTATTTCCTTAGTAAAGGAGTTGTGATAAGTTTTTGGTTAGTAAAACCATGGGTTAATACTTGTCTGGTTGGTAATATTAATGGTTATCCAATGATAGAAGTAGAAACATGCAGGTCTACCTGTTTATTAGTACTGATTATGTACAGTCCTCAATAAGTTTGTACTTTACCCTCCCAAACCTCCGCTGTCAGTCAGTCTGGAACCCCCCTGGAAGGCTTGATAACATGTTTCTGTTTATACTTTATCCTTACCCAGTTTGGAGCAATAGTATCTGGGAAAAAAAGAGTTCCATGCTGTCCATGCAATTAAGTTTCCTTTGTTTTTAAATGTAGAATTAACCAAGTGAAGTGTAATTAGTCATTTAAAAGCCAGAGCAATTATTGGGACACACAAGACTGGACCTGGTTAGCATAAGAGATGTGATCATCAGGATGCCTTGGCAAGAACAAGCAGAACTTTGAGGATTAAATCAAGACTAACTGAAGATTAAATCAAGACTTACCGAAAAAGAAAATTACATCAAGACTTCTGCAAGCAAGAGATGTTGTAAAATGTTTAGGTTTGTTTATGTGATGATTAATCCAATCATTGTAGTAAAAAATTACTAGCCTTTCTAGAATAGTATATAAGCATATGCAGTCCACAATCAGTTTGGATTCTGACCAGCTCTCAGTCTCCTCGTCTCTCTCTCCATTGCCAACAATTGGTGCTCTGGATGAGGAGAAGGACCAGCCTGTCTGGCTGCAATCCGCGAACCCCTGGAACTGATCGTGACAGTGAGAAAACCTCGTTTGGGCCCACAATCACCCGTCTGCTATGACTGACAGGTGAGCCAGGGAGCTGATCCATGGGACAGAACATGTCCAATGAGAGAGACATCTGTGAAACCACACTTGCCCTTCTGGGCAGGCATGGCTCCCCCATCCTAAAGCACGACCTTAAGTCAGTTTCACGATGGGTGTCATGCATGCTCCCCGATGCCAGCCCTTCTGTATTTACCCTCTGCTGCTGAGACAAGGTTGGCATAAAACTGTACGACCTGGACACAAGCCAGAGCTATGAATGCTTCCTGCTTGGAGGGGGGTCATGGACGTGATTAAAAAGGAGGGAAGGAGCAAGGAAGCCTGCAAGGCTACCGCTGAGATGGTCCTGGCAACCGTGCCAGATCGAAACCTGCCCAGGTCCCACTCCCCATCCTGTGTCCAGCACACCCTCCCTGATGAGCACCAGGGAGAGAGCCCGGTCACCTCCTCCAGTCCCACTGCCATACCAGCAGCGATCCCAGAGCCGCCAGACACATCGCTGACGTGGCAGACACTGACTCTAGCAATGGATGTGAGCAGGACCCTTTCGACCCTCGACTTATTCCCTTTGGATGTGCATAACAATTGGTTACAGATGAAAAAGAAAGCCCTTAAGGACAGAGACTTTGACACTGCTGCAGAAATCTTTTTGGCCCTCATGTGACTTGGCCCGATGGGAGGGAAATCCACGATGGGAGCCCCTAGGTCACTCAGAAATTAAGGAACTGTGCCGTACCGCAGCGGAATATGGACTGGGGTGCCCTTACTTTAGTAATTTATTAAGAGCAACTTTTACTGCTCACCTTGTGACTCCTCATGGTGTTATGTTTTTGACAAATCTTTTGCTCACACCGACACAATACGCCATATTTATGGCACAATGGAAAAAAGGACTGGAGAATTTAATTACAGTGTAAGCAGAGCATGCAAACCAAGCCCTGGCTGCCTTAACTACTGACCACCTTGCTGGGGGGAGGTGGGGGGATGGGGCATACCACTTCTAATGGCCGAGCTGCCTTACCAAGAGAAGCTTTAGAGGGTATCACAGATGCAGCTTATTTTTCTTTTCTTAAGGTTCCTGATGCCAAAACCCCTCAACAGTTCTTCATAAATATCAAACAAGATCTGCAAGAGCCCTCTATGCACTTTGTGGACAGATTAAAACAAACACTGGAGAGACAAATCAATAATTATCAAGCAAGGGAAGTTATACTCCTCAAACTGGCCATAGAAAACGCCAATGAGGATTGTAGTCGCTTTTTGAAATCTTTGCCTTCTGAACCTGAGCCCACTTCACTCTGAAAGATACAAGCATGCAACCACCTGGGAACAATACAACACACCACAGTAATCATCTATCAAGTCATGGGAGAAGGCATAGTGGATGATTTTGCTGCCCTGAAATTAACCCCTGGAAAGCAGTTGGTTTGTTTTGGCTGTGGGGAATCTGGACACATAAAAGAGACTGCCAAAAAGCAGAGAAACCCAAAGCCCGGGGTCTGTGCCCTCACTGTTGGAAAGGCCCTCACTTTGCTAGTCTGTGCTGCTCTAAGTTTCACCAGAATGACCAGCCTTTACAGGGAAACTCATCTTGGAGCGCAGAGCAGCATCGCACAGTGACACAAATCCTACAGCTGATGCAGCAACCAGGAGCACCTGCCAACTTCCAATACCCTGACTGCTGGACAAGTGTCACTTGTGTAGCCACCCCAGGCAGCACAGGACTGGTCAGATCAAACATCACAGTAACATTACTCAATTCATCTGTTCATTTGCTTCCCACAGGAGTTTTCGGACTGGGACAGCATCTGCATGCTTTGATCATGGGCAGATCATCCACCTGGATAACAGGGTTGTTTGTTCTTCCTGGGGCTATTGACTCTGACTGGGTTGGGGAAATTAAGGCCACGGCTTGGACCCCCCAGTGGCCGTGTGTGGTCCTGGCTGGAAGCCAAGCAGCCCAACTCGTGCTTTTTCTGGTAGCACCCCTATCTGCACCCCTGATAGCTGAACAGAAGGGAGGAGGGGGTTTGGTTCCACCGGGGTCCCGGAGATTTTTTGGACACAACATATCACATCTCAGCATCCCACATTCCAATGCAAAGTGGCTCTGAAAGGCAGGGACATAATTCTAACAGGACTCCGTGATACTGGAGCAGATGTGACTTATCTCAAAAAGGCAATGGCCCAGTGATTGGCCATTACTGTCTGTGCCTTGAGTGCTCCCCGGCAAAGACAACACTTAGTGCAGATTACAGGGCCTGATGGGCAGATTGCCACAGTGAAACCTTTTGTGCTGTCTGTTACCCTGGTTTTGTGAGGGAGGGATGTGTTGACACTGTGGGGAATTTTTATGCATTCAAATTTTGTATAGGAGTCATTGGGACCTTTGACACACCCCCACAACAGTCCCTGGCTGAAGTGCCCCAGATGCTTTCAAACATTGGAAGGAGCAGGCCAGCTACCAAAGGTGACATTTAATACAGATCTAAAGCCCTGAAGGACACCTTGCCTTAGTCAAACAAGTTATATTTCTAGTTATTTGCCTTTTTAATATTGCATTTTCTTGTGAATTTTTGGTACAGCTATTTAGTATTATGTAACTAATTTTTTTATTGGTTTAGCCTTCAATGTTTTTATCCCATTACTTTTATTAAGCCAAACTTAAATCTGTCATCAAGTAATCTTCAAAAGCTGCTGCTGGCACCAGCCAGCACAGTCTGACCAGAACAGCATGCTGAAGTTATAGCACGTCAAAGTACCAACTGATGCTACATACTATCCCAACTCTGTTAACATTTACCTTCTAATTTTAATAACACGTGATTTGAGATTTTTAACAGGATTGTTACCAGAAAAATTCAAAGGTGTTTGTGTAAAAGTGGTGTTTTCTTACATATTAATAACATAGGAAAACTGCATCGTTCACTGAGAGTAATTAGGTAAGTCATAAATTCAAGACTCTTTAGATCACATTTGAGACCAACTTTAAACTTGATTTGTAGTAGTTATTTGAGCCCTAACTAGAACTAGCATATAAAACTCCACTGTCAGCTTTATTAAGTGCTTGCTTTTTACTCCATAGTTTCAATGAGGTCATTTTATTGTAAATTTTTCAGAACAGATGTTATTTACCTTGATGTTTAACTGTTATATGACAAATGTTCAGTAACTTTTTTATAATAATAAGAGTTTAAACAAGTTAATTTTTGTTAAGATTAATATTTTTTAGTTTCAGTGATGTTAACTTTAAGTTAAGTATATTTTGGTTATGTTTTACTGGAGTTAAGTTTTAGTGAAGTTGATTTTAAGTTTTGTTGAAGTATATCTGTTTAAATTATAAGATAGAATTCCTTTACTATTCAAGTGAATAACATAAAGCCTAAATGAATTTTGTCAAAATGTGCTAATTTAAATTACAAGATACAACTATTTTGTTATAGAAATAAGAACAATTTTTGCTATTTTATTTTTATAAGTAGTACTGAAGAATTAGTAAATTTCATATTATGACTGCTATCAGTTGTGGTCTGTTAAATGCTTTTTTTTGTTTTACTACTATTTAGCTAAAGATAAAATGACAAAGCCAGCTGATTTACAAACCTTCACATATTGATGTATAGCTATTTATAAGATTATATTATTTTTCTAACTACTATTACTAAGAGGTTTTTAAAATATATTAAAGACACTTCCAGTTAAAGCCTGGACCCTGGCCAAGTCCCAGCCATAACTAGTAGAGAAATATACCAGTAAAGCCAAGCGTTTTCTACATCAAAACTATACTCAAGTCATTGTGACTTGCCAAATTTGGACCTACAATGGCTAAACCTCCTTTTAAAGTGAATGTGGAGGGCTTACCCTCCAAGCCCTCACTTTAAACATAAAGGTTGCCAATTACTACAGACTCTAAGTAATAGTACAATATTTAAGAAATTGATAATGCATTATTTAAAATCACCATTCTATTTTTCATGTGACACTAATTGTATATATTATCTGATTTATTTTTACTTAGTATATGTTTATTGCTTTCATTGTTTTCTTTTTCTGTTGCCTTCATGTTCATAATGAGAAATACACATGCTATTAAAAAACAAAAAAAAAATAGAGGGGGGGAATATAGCTCCTCCAGAACTTTACACTAATATTTACACAAAAAAAAATTTAAATCAAATCAAATTTGACCCCTTACCCTCCTGAAGCACCCTTGGAACCACAAGAATTAGAGCCCCTGGATTCTGTGAAAATAGATTTTTGTCTTAATTTTAAATACATGGAAAAAATCAATCTAAAACTTTTAATATGTTTCTCCCTATCACCCCGCACATAAGAATCAACCTTTTGGTGCAATTGCACTTGCAATCTTTCTAAATCCAGTAATGCCCCACCTGTGGCTGCCATCAGGAATATTTTTAGTTTATAAAGGTCAAGCCTGAGCCTTTAGAGGCTAAGGTTTTTAGCTAAAAGATTCTTTTTAACATGGGTACGTATGTGATGACTTTCATAATAATTGTATTAATCGTGATACTTTTCTTGTTTTAATGTGTGCAGAGATTAATTAATTAATAATAAAAAGGTGTGGTTTTGATTGAAAAGTGAAGAGGAAGATATTGGGACACACAAGACTGATGATGGACCTTGGACCTGGTTAGCATAAGAGATGTGATCACCAGGATGCCTTGGCAAGAACAAACAGAACTTTTAAATCAAGACTAGCTGAAGATTAAATCGAGACCTACCAGAAAAGTACATCAAGACTTCTGCAAGTAAGAGATGTTCTAAAATGTATAAATTTGTTTAAGTGATGATTAACCCAATCATTGTAGTAAAAAATTAGTAGCCTTCATAGAATAGTGTGTAAGCATACGTAGTGCACAATCAATTTGGATTCTGATCAGCTCTCAGTCTCCCTGTCTCTCTCTCCATTGCCAATATGCAATTATGGGGGCAGTGGGAAAACAAAGCAAGGAGGTAATTCATGTAAGACTGGGAAGTTGCAAGAGGCTGTGATGCTCTAAGTGTGGCTCCTCAGGGAGGGAGCTGTGTCACCTAGTTGAGAAATGGTCATCTAATGCAGCATGCTTGTCCATTAGTGATTAGTGTAGGCCATAAACTTTTGGAGGCTTTATTTTTCTAATTTGATTTTTGCCCATCTCCTAAAGTAGGCAGCATTCAGATTTTTTTTGCTAGCTCTTTCTGTAATGGACATTCATTTTAGTAGGATTGCAGTGTGATTTCGGGTGGAAGAAAGGACTAGCAGTTACCTGTCCCACCTGTTGCTCAGTTAGTCCAGTGCATGCAGGGAGGGAGGGTGTAGAGGAAGTGCTCTGAACAGCTGGCAGGGACTGGGTGTCCTCTGGGCTCAAGTACCAGCTCTGCCTTTTGACAGCCTCAGAAAAGTCAGTGATGCATGATGTTACCTATCCAGAAACCAAAGACTTTAGATACTCATGAAAAGTGTCATAGGATTACCTGTTATTAATGGAAATGCAAATCAAATTTAGCCTGTAATACACCCAGAAATAAAAGAATGGCAATTCTACAGTCTCAAGCTATGTCTAGTCAAGACATATTTCTTCTGTCATTGATTTCTTTGTCATTGGAAATGGATGTGCTAACTAGTATTTCTTTTTGATACCTGGCTTTGGCCCTATCTTTGTGGGTAAGGTTCCTGTACAGTTCCTGACTCTGCTTAGGAAAAAAACCCTGGAGGCTGATTACTGACAGGCATACACACCCAGCACCTTCTAAACCAGCTTGAAAATGAATGATATGTGACAATTTGATAGTGCTGCACTAGCATGAAGAATTTAATGTCATCTCTGACTTTGCAGTATAAAAATATTTGTTGTATAATAATATTTAATTTGCTGTAATTCTTCAGAGGATGTTGGGAGAAAGAGTTTATTTGGATATGAGAAGCACTAGTGCTAGATCAAGGTTTCTGGCTGTAAACAGTTGCAGGATAACTGGTGTTCCCTGAAATGAAGAAACTGGCTCTAGAACAGAGCTTGGGTTGCAATTATGATATTAATTTACAGAATTAAAAGTTGTTAAGTCATCTTCTTTTTTTCCTTTTTGTTTTCCCAGAAAGAGTTACTTACTCTTTCATCTTTACTGCTTGAATCTTTCTTGTTCTTCTGCATGTTTTTTTCTAGGTCAGGCATTCCTGCATTTCTTTTGGTATCTTTCGTTGAGGACAGAAATTGAAGTCACTTGGGGGCACTTATGGAGCCTGATGCCTCAGTTCTGGAAACAGAAAAGATTTAAAGTCCTGTGAGTAACCCATTATTTATAACCAAAATGTATGAGGGGAGTATTCCCTGTGCAAACACACACAGAAGCTTCAGAATGCAAACCTGAAGAGAAATAGAAGTACAACATTCAAAGTAGCTAAACTGAGCCCTGTGGAGATTGCCCTGACATTCTGTTTGTCTCATTTTGCTATAAATTTATTTATTCAGACTATCTGATGCTCATAAAAGGTCCCTTCTCAGCATGGTTTATTTTGTCACTGTAATTTACTTTGCAATTTATTGTGGCATAATCTGCATGCTTTGTATAGCTGTTATATGTTAGCTGGAGGAAAGAGGGGACTTCTCTTTGAATGCACTTATGTTGATACAGGTAATAATAATGTTGCATTTTTCTATATTAGGATCTTATATTTCCTCCTCTTACTATTTCATATGAAAGCACCACAGCCTTTAAATGTATTTTTCATGGCATTGCTCCATGGGTACAGTGAGGTGCTGTGCTAGAAGATGTAAAAAGGAGCTTGATGGAGATATGCCTTTTCCCTCTGCAGCCTAGAATCTCACACGGTACCAGTGCCTTGGGGCATAGCTCTGGGCTGGGGCACCCTGTGAGCCTGCCTGTGAAGGCTGTGGGAGGCCTGACAGGGGTGCTGTACCCTGGGTTTGAGCCATTTCATAGAGCAATCTTTTAAATAGCATATACTTATCCAGGGAGATGGCTTAACCTGCTAAAAGTCACAAAAGTAATCTGTGACAGGGCAAATACTTCCACTCGTGTCTCTCTGGTACTGTGCTTATCCTGGTTTTCACTTCTAAAGATGCCTCTTCGCTCTTTTCTGTGCAGGGATAAGCTATCTGACATGCACATTTTTTCTGATATACTATTGACCACAGGAAGTGATTGTCCTAATTATGACAGTACATAAGTACAGCTAAAGCAGTGAGATTTTTTTGTGTTCAGTCAGGTCTTGATGGATTAGAGATTTTCTTTTTTTCTTTTAATTACTTTGCACTGTGTCTATGAAAAATATAACACAACGTATTGACTATGTAGATTTTTTTCTGTAATCTTCAGAATTATTACACTTAGGGCACTGAAATTATTTCTACAACAGCTTTTAAGAACAATTTGGATTAAACTCTACAGTGCATGAAAGTGAGTTGAAGAGTTTTGTTTAGCAATAGGCAGAGATGGCTGTGGATTATTCCTCTCCTGAGGAATTAGCTTGGCTTTTGCAGCCTTGCAGCTTCAGCATGGCTCTGCCAATGTGTATGTGGTCACTGACACCTTGTGTTGATCCTGTCCTGCACTGGCTGTCAGTGGGGCCATGTGCTGTGAAATAGGTTGTATAAGGTTGAGAGATGTCCCTGGAGCCCTGCAATGAGGGCAAAACAGCAAATTCGTGTTGATCTGTCATCTGCTTACAGTTTCAGCCCAGGTGAGAGATGATGTCCCTCATGAAAAGGCCACATTAACTCACTGCCCTGCTCCACTCCCTCTTGTGTGCTGCACAGGGCTCATCACTCAGCCATGCACTCTATTCCTAAAACACAGGTCCAAAGCACCTCAAATAATGCACGTCCTGTGACTCTTGGAAGACTGTTGGCTTGCCCAGTTGTTTATGGGCTGGCCTCAGCCCCCACCTGCATTCAAATACAGAGCAGCCATTTTGTCTTTAGAGCACTCAAACTGTGCTCCCTTAAAGGAAAAATCCTGCTGGTATTCTTTTTGCTGGGACTTTTGTTATTTCTTTCCTTATGCTTTTTTGTCAAACTGCAATATGGTGTCACGCTGACTGAAAGTCTATATTGGCTCAGTGTCTCTAGGAAGTGCTACTACTAACAGCCCTGCATATCTGTAAAAACAGTGTGATAAAGAGTTTGGAGGTGGTAGCCTGAACTGTGCTTTTCTCTGTTGCAGGGATGAACGGAGGCTTTGTCTCTGGTTCAAGTGCTGACAGCTTAGCATCACACCCAATCCTGTATTTGCTTAATAAAGGACAAGAAAACTGACACAGGAGAAAATCCTGAAGAAATTCAAGATGACTTCAAAGTTGCTCACTAGAAAGCTGCGAGGTACGTTGTCAAAGTTATTAGGCAAAAAAAAGAAAAAATAATCCTAGCTGTTTTTATTTACAGCTGGCTTAGCTGGAGGGCCAGGGTGAGCGGCTTAGCACAGTGGCTTCGAGTCACAGCAGGCTGGGGAGCCGGGTGGCCTTCCCCACAGCTCAGAGCAGCAACTCAAATCCGTAACAAAAGGCACTGATCTCTCCGTTAGCAGATAGCAGAGGAGGACTAAAATCAGCCCATGTGCTTATACTTGAGTTCTCCTGACACGATGGACTCGGGAGGCAGCTTGCAGTATATGGTGTTGTTGGGGCAATACATTCAGTCCCCACCCATTCATCCTCACTCTGTGTTATCAGGAGGATAAGCTTTAAAGTTCTCAGGAGCCTATGCATGAAGTTAAGCGGAATGTATGCCTTGTCAGGAATACACGTGTGAAGCGCGCACTGCCGCGGCAGTAGACATTGCGAGCGGAGCCCGGAGCCGCCCTGTCGCCGGCCGTGAGCTCCCTGCGGGCCACGGCAGCGCCGGACCCGTCGGGGAGCGCTCACGCTCCGCCGGAGCCTGCCGGCACCTCCCGAGACCTTCCCAAGCCTCAGCCCCGAAGGAGCCCTTTCCCTCCCGAACCGCCCGTGGCGGCGGGACGCTCGGGCGGCGGCAAAACGGGAGGCGCCGTGGGTGCCGCCTAACCCACCGAAGGGAGCTCGCTGGGCTCCGCTCCACGGGACCCGCCGCCCTCATCCTCCCCGGCCCCAGGCTCTCCCGCAGCCGCGCCGTCGGGGCAGCGGCAGGCGCGGGGCGCGCAGCCCGCCCGTCCGTACCTGCTCGTCGGGGAGCTCCGCAGCGGCCGCCGGGCGGGCTCTGCGAGTCGCGGCGGCTCTGTCCAAGGTACCGCCGCCTCCTCCGCGGCCAGGTCCCCTCTGGGTGGGGGCGTGCGGAGGGCGGCTCAACTCCGCCGCCGCTGGCTCCTCCCCGCCCCGCCCGGCCCGGCCCGGCACGGCACGGCCCTGCCCCACCGCCCCTCCCGCTGTGCGCAACAGGCGCTGCTGCCCGCCCGCAGCGCCCAGTGCCCGCCGTGTCCCCCGGGGGCGGGCGGGGGCAGTCGGGCACAGCCGGGCTCTCCGGCGTTCTTACGGCTGTCGGGGTCAGCCTCGGCAGCGGCAAGGACAGCCCCAAAGGGCTACTGTGCTCGCAGACCCGCGTTGCCACAGGGGCTGTCGCCAGTGTCGGGAAGTGTCGCCGTGGGGCATCTGCGGCTCCTGAAAGCTCGGTGGCCGAACGGGCGGGCGGCGCTGCCAGTGGCTGCCGGCACCACGGCCGGGAGGGGTGGAAGCCGCGACGGGCGGCAGCGGTCCGGACAGAGAACCGGGCTCTGCAGGAGCTGCCGTGGGGCCGGCAGCAGCAGCGGCCCGGGGCAGCAGCTGCAGAACCCGCTTTTGCCGCTTACCACAAAGAAGCGGCTGCGGGTTAGGGAAGCGGGTCTCACCTCCCACCACGGTGGCCGCTGCTCTTTCGCGGAACCCCCGTGTCAAAGCGCCATCCCACTGTCTTAATGAGTTTTGCGCCGCCTGAGCAGCGACTCGACCGCCCCGGCGGGAGCTGCGGCGTCGCGCGTCCCGCGCAGCTCAGCGGAACCGACCGGCCGCTGCTCCGCGGCACCCAGATCCCCAGGGACGGGTGCGAGCCCTTTAATAGGTGCTGTGGCCGCTTGTAAATGTCTTTCCACCCCTCTTGCGATTACCAGTAATTATTTTTGTTTCCTATTGGGTTAAGAATTAAAACAAACGATTTTATTTTATATTAAGAGAAATGTATAGGGCAAATTATGCAGTCTGGTTCCCTTGTGAATGGATCGAAGGTTTCCACTCTTTGCAAATGTCTGAATGAAGCGTTTCACCCATCTTTTGTTTTTGTTTAATCCCTGTCGAGTCACTGAGGTGGGTGCCTTTTAATTCGGGCAGCATTTAGCACTGAGAAAGGCACCTTCCAGTATTGTACCTCGAACTGCTGGTGGCATAATTTTTGAAATATTAGAAAATTGAAATCCATTATTGTGGGGAATTAAAATTGAATTCACATGAGAATTCAAGGAGCTGGTTTTAAGCACGGTTGCAGAGCGATGTTGTTTCCTCAGACCTGTTATGCTGTGAAGAATGAATGAGAACATTTTGTACTGGGGTTTTTGCCTGTGCCATTTTGGTAGCTAGTGAGAATTATGCTCTGGGAAATAGTTCCTTTAGGGGTTACATTGAGCACAACCAGCTCCCTCCCTCAAGGAGCCCCAAAAACAAAACAAAAGACAATCAATCCCCTTCAATTCTGTTTATTCAGATCCTATTATTCTTGTAACTTGGACTTCAACATAATACAGCATATTGCACTTACCGGAGAGCAGCACAAGAGAGAAAAAAAGAGGTACAATACTTCAGTTTATTCCCAGGAAAGAATGAAATGAGACAGCTGTTGCTCTTCTTAAATATAGGAAACCAACTGAAAGTCTGAGTATATGTACACAAGATTTGCTAAGTCCCTGAATACACCATTTGAAATTTTACACATACGTTTTTGCTTTTCTTGTAATTTTTACAGAGATATACATTATGTCACACACAGTTTCAGTTTGAGAACACTCTGCACAATTATACCCCAGCTACAAAGCTGTTGGGTTTTTTGTTTTCTTTTTGGTGGTTTTTTTTTTTTGAAAGATCCCCTCAGATTTCTGCTAATGATTACTCCAATAATTTTTTTCAGCATTGTCTCCCATTTCCCACCCCCTCCAACTTGCTGGAATGCTGAGGGAAATACCGATTAAAAGTAAGTCTAGAAGAAAGCCATTACATCATGACAAAGGTTAAACTGTAGATATTGCACATCAGTACAGAAACATAATGCAGTAACATTTTCATCCCCCCGCTTTGCCTCTCTCACACATGTCTCTCCTTGCTCTTGGGTCTGGACCACATGGGGGAACCTAACTGTACTCATAGTCGGATGAGTCCTCCTCAGACACCCCTTTCAGGTCTCTGTGGTAAGAGCCCATGCCATTCTCATCCATCTCGCCCGCTGGCTGGAGGTTTTTGCCCACGCCTTTGCGCTCCTCCATTTTGATGGTGTCATAGAGTCCCTTAGGTCCTTCTTCAAGGAGGATGTTTCTCTCTGAGTGAGAGGGTTTCATTTGGCAGACATTTTTGAGAAAGAGAAGGACAGGGGCATAAAGCACATTGGCAAGCCCCATGCCCAGGTTGAGCTGCGCAAAGCCCATGGTGTGCACAATCTGGCCGGCCACGATGGGCCCCAGGGCATATGCCACACAGTAGGAGATGTCTGCAATGGCATAGACGCTGCCATAGACAGAGACGTGTCGCACGTCCACCAGGAAAGCCAGGGTGGGCAGCAGGGCTGTGTCCACCAGGGCGATGCCAAAGCAGATGCCACAGAGGGGAATGATGACCTGCCCGAAATTCCTGCAGGCGGGCACCAAGCAGGAGCTGGCACCAATGATGGCCATGCCCAGGGCCCCGTAGAACCACTGCAGGTGTGGGTACGCAGCAGCCAGCTGGACGGTGACGTAGACGCCCAGCACGTGGGGGAAGAAGGCGGGCAGCCAGGTGAGGCCCACCTCCCACTCGCTGGCCCCCATGGAATCCTTCATCCAGTTGGCGATGGTGGGCTCCAGGAAGGCTAGGGGGATGTTGCAGGTGGCCAGGGCCCCTGCCACCACGGCGATGTAGGGGTCAATCATGAGGCGGTGTATGGGGGTGCCGACAGGCATGTTGGCCCGTGCCCCGGTGCCACCGGGCGGCGCCAGGACCAGCAGCATCAGCCCGTCGAGAAGGCAGACGCAGGCCAGCACCAGGAAGGGCACCCGCTTGCCCGCGAACTCGTAGAGGACGCCGCCGAAGGGGGGGGCGGCCAGGCTGCCGAAGGAGATGCAGGCCAGCGCCGTGCCCAGGGCGCGGCTCCGCGCCGGCTCCTCGGCGTAGCGGTCAGCGATGAGGGCGATGCCGGCGGTGTCCGCAAAGGCAGAGCCCAGCCCCTGCAGACTGCGCGCCGCGAACAGCGTCGCGTAGTTCTCGGCGAAGGCGAAGGTGGCGGTGGAGAGGAACAGGACGGCCAGCCCGGCCAGCAGCGGCGCCTCGTAGCCCACGCGGTCGATGAGGGTGCCGCTGAGGGGGTTCACCAGCAGCTGCAGCATGGCTTTGGAGGCGAACAGCACCCCGATCTGCACGTCCTCGTTGCTCCCCGATGCCGGCGGGTACCGCGCAGGCAGAAGGCTCCGGTTGCCGCCGCCGCTCCCGTTGCCCCCCGCGGGCGCGGACGGGCCGGCGGTGCCCCCGCCGCCGCGCATGGCCGCGATGTAGTCGGGGATGATGGGCACGATGACCATGTAGAGCATGTTGTCCAGCAGCAGCGCCACGCACACCACCATCAGCAGCAGCCGCCGCTGCCGCCGTGCCTCCCCCATGGCGGTGCCCAGCCGCCGCCGCCGCTCGCCCACCGCCTCCGAGCGGTGGGGACGCGGCACCGCCCCCGAGGCGGGGGCCCGACGGCGCGGCTGGCCGCGGGTGCCCGGGCACGGCTGCTGGTGAGCCCGGCTCCGCGGCAGCCTCCCGGAGCTCGCCGTTGCTTCCCCCTGGGCCGGGGCGACGTGCGCCCGCCGGTGCTGCGGGCAGAGGTCCCGTGTCCTCCCAGCCCTGCGTCGCCGCTGCCTCAGCGGCGCCCGGCTCGCCTGCGGAGGTCGGCGATTGCGGGCTCTGCCGCTGTGCTGCCGCCGTCTAAGCCGAGAGCTGCTCGGGGCTGCTCCCCATCGCGCGGCGCGGGTCCGCCCGCGACGGCAGAGCTGGCCAGGGCAGGGTGTAGGGGCGCTCGGGGAGACTTGGACTAATCGGGAACGGGGCTGGCAGCGCTGGGCTGAGCCCCCCACCTCACTGGAAATCAGAGAGCATCACAATAACTGTCTTGCTGTGTGCGAGCGTGTTTCTGACACTCAGACAAACGCCAGGGAAATAATCCTCAAGTGCAGCGTTACACACTGCTCGCATTTTGTCGGGCCAGTGCAGCAGCTGGAAGAGCTGCGGAGCAAGGGGCCTCACCCGGTGCACAGGCTTTGGCATTGAGAAGTTCTCTTTAGCACAAAGCAGCATATCTGTACTCCTGTAGCAGAAATGACACGTGGGCTGATCCAAGGAGGATCTCTGCAGAAGGCTGTATGAAATAATCCCATCTCTCGGCCAAGCGGTTCCCGAGTGGATGTGGAGTTTGGGCAACTTCATTTACTTGCGTAGCTGGGCTTCCACAGCTGAAAGGGAGGTGATTTATCTGTCACTTGCTGTATCTTGCTCTGTTGCAAGAAAACATTCTAGATGGCCAGGAACACTTTAAGATGGATCCCTGCATGGAGTAGCATACAGATCCAATTGTGCTTACACAGAAGTGGAACCTTAGAAAATATTTAAAATAGCAATAGTCCTCGACATCCATATTGTCATTGTTACCATTGTTATTCATTTACTATATCCACTGTAAAACTGCAGAAATGAACCACTGACAACTGAGATAAAGCTCTTGGTCTGGGACTCTAAATAAGCTATTATCCTAAATGCTTCAAAAGGTAATTTCAGGGTGTGGAAGGGAAGTGCCTGAAGGAATAGAAGAGTCTAGCTGGAAGGGTATTGAGCTAAAAGCCAAGGCTGCTGCACTTGGCTGCACGGAGTCAAGATACTTGTCACCTGTGAGACTGGTTTAGTTGGGAAAAAATCAAACTAAACACTACAAAGTCCGTCCTCCTCTGATTCCTCAAACAGACCCTGGGGTCGCTTCTGGAGAACATGTTTCTGCAAAGGACTGTGAGCATGGGAGGAGCAGCTACCCAGATGATGAGGAAATGGCTGAAGGATGCACCTCCTGTTTGGGATGGATATCACGTTGCAGTAGGCGGTAATGGGTTGGGGGCAGAGATGACTTTGGATCATTGCTGTGCTGCAGTCAGGAGTATTGGAATCTTGGCTCTCGCTTGATGAGGCACTTTATTTGATTAAAGTTTCCCTTTTAATCAGAGATATGGTCATTTCCCGTCTCTAAAATGGAATCTGGCTCTGGGGGTCATGTCTGGATAATAAAAGGACTGGTTCTCTTGTCTCATGGGAGTTGATATCGAATTTATTACCATCAAGAGAAAGCAGAATTATACTTGTAAAATGTTGCATAATAAATTTAGCTTCCTTAGTAAATCAAATCAGCGGATACCCTTATCTGCAAGAGATGCGTCATCGCTACGTGAGCTTCTTGGACTAGACAGAACTAATGGGGAGAAAATGTACCTTCAAGTGTGGGCAAAGTTGATGGAGCCACAGTAAATTAAAGTTAAAAAAAGTCTCCCTGGTGTTTGACTTAGAAATTTATCATTATATTTGGGAAGGGACTTTAAGGTGAAATGAGCTGACTTTTAAAATTTTGTGCTTTTATCCCAAAGCCCAGAGATGTGACAATTATTTAGTTTGAGAGGAGGAATGCGGAGGAGGTGATGTACTTCATTTGTCCTCCAGTGCAGAACATGCGGGTTTGGAAAGCCCCTGTTAAAATCAAGGAGACAGAGAAGATTTTGGATCTGTGCAAAGAACAGGGATGACTGCACCAAGACTTCTACCACTTTCTTTGTTCTAGAGGCTGTAAATGAAGGAAAATAGTTCAGGGTGACTGTTTGGCAATAAAAAGGAAGTTATTATTGAATCTAAAAGAGCCCGTGGTCCAGGAAGAGAAATTATACTTAGGATCTTCAAGCTTTCAGAAAAAAAATCCTAGAAAATATATAACATATATGAGCATACGAACCTTTATGTCTGATGATGGTATCAGTTTAAATTGAATGTAAGGGTAAAGTGGGGCTTAGTATGACCAGTTGATCACATTTCTAACACTCAGCTTAAAAAGGAAGACCTACCTACTTTGGGAATTTTGGAAAAATGAGAGAGATTTCTCTCCAAACATCAAAATGAATATATAAGTAGTTAAACAGATAAAATTACTTGTGTACAGTCTGCTCTTGCTTGTCCCACTACCTACCGAATTGATAGTCCTTGTGCTTTGAAATGACAGTTGGTTTTGATGCTGTATCAGGGCAATTTTACGGAGAGAGAAAGAGAGAGAAGCAACAACTGCTGTGATGCACTCTGCTGTCAGGAATGGAACTGAGTTAATTGTGCATCCTTAGGAGCCTTTCTTTCACAGGAGAAAAAGTTTTTGCTATGAGGTGTCCAAACACAATGAGTCAGAGAGTTAAGAGTCCTCCAGGTCTGCAAAATATTAATACTCCTAATAGCCTGAGTACTTAATATCTGCAATAGAGATCTTGCCCTCTTCAGGATATGGCAATACATTCTAGCACTTAAGACTGAACTAATTATGTGTTTCTTTTTTGATTAGAAGACCTGCTAATCTGATTCTGCCAAATAAGAGAGGCTCACCTACTTTGACAAGTATGTTACAGTCTTTAGAAGTGTGGTAGAGGAAAATGGAAGAGATAAAAGGTAAGGTCCATTTTCAACAACTCAATTTCAAATGCATTTTTGTGCAGAAAATGGTCGGGCTGTCAAATGTCAGCCAATAAGTTCTTGTCATGAATGTAATTATCGAAAAAACCACAGGTATTTTGCATTATCCATTAACACACTGTTTTATGTCAGTAGTAACTGAGGTTCCTGCTCTTCCTGTTGAGCTCTAAAACCTTTGTTGCCAAGGCAGATGGACACACAGTACAGACAGAAGCACATGATGCACAGAGGAGCTCTGGAGAGCAGAGGAAAGAGGGAGTCTTGCCAGTGGCTGGTGGTGCCATGAGGTTGGGCAGGGACACGCCAGGCACGCCTTGGTGCCCCTGGTCCTGCTTTGGGTTCCAGCTGGGCTGGTTGGCAGTCCTGGCTGGGCAAGCCTTAGCCCCTCCAACCATTGATACTTTTCTGATTAGCAGGATGAGCCACCAGGCACAGCCTTCTGGAGAGACCACGTGTCTTGTAACTCTGTCAAAAGTTCTTGTGTGGAACAGGTGAAATGTGGATGGACGCTGGACATCAAAGTGTGCCCTTCCACTTCTGTGGAAGCTTTGTTCAATAGGAAAACTGCTTTTTATTAATGGTTGTCATACTTTGAGGAATGGTAAAATGATCAGGGTGGGTTTTTTAAATTAATGTTACAGCCATACTTCATGCTGCTTCACTCTTTGGAAATAGTGCTTAGAGAGAATGGAAAAATAGCTGAAGTTAGGGAAAATAAGAGAAAAAGCAATTCAAGGATTTGTGTCTAAGCTTATGTCAGTTCTAGCAATAGCTGATGTTCTGGATAGTTGTAATGGACATCTTTTCATTTAGAGTTCAAAGAAAACTAGTAAATAATGATGTATCTTCCAACTCCAAAAGTACAGGGACAAAGTATTTCTGGACATGTAAATAGCTCAGTGAATGGAATTTCCACTGTCCCTCTTGGAGAATACTTATCTGTCCAATAACATTCAGGGATTGAATAGTCTCCTGATGTTCAGTCTGAAATTTGTTTTCCTGTTTTGTTCCTGCTAAGCCTATGTCTACCATGTGCATCACCTCAAAACACTTTTTTCTCTTCATATATCCTTCAAGCATTTGTTGTGTTAGTCCCAGACTAGACAAGGATGACAAGTGGTGCTGGTCTATGAGATGCAAGAAGCAGCTATAGAATCTGGGAAGATGCTCCTCCCAATGACTGCTTCTCTTCCCAGTCCTTATTCACCATTTTTGTCCTGTCATGTCTTTCTTTGCTCTTTTGTGGAAGGCTGTCAAAATGTTCTCCAACCAACCACAAAAGTATATTTTCCCCCCAAAATTATCCTGGTTTTCATATTTTCAGTTATAAAAATACAGAATCTATCCTTGCTCCAAGACTCTTCAAGTTCATTTCTGATCCAATTTTGCAGGGAACAGGAGCTGAAAGAATGTTTGGATGCTCCTGATTCGTAACATCCTTCTCCACTAGCTACTCATCTCTGCTCAACTTTTGGGGCTTTACTGCAGTCCAAATCAAATTCCTCATTGCTTAACAGCCTTTCAGAACTGTGATAGCAGGAAACACATCTTCCACATGCTCACAAATAGTTTCTTGGGCTTTAAAAGTGGTGTCAGATTGGCAATTTGGTTTGCTGACTGTTCAAATAAGCATTTCCATCATGCTGGACATTCTCCTCATGCTGACTACAGAAGAAAGATATATCAAAAAACCTGTCAGATATTTTGGATTGGTAACCACAAAGACATTCATTTGTCCAAAGCACAACAAATTAAATGTGAATGTTTTATTTAAATGGGGAGGCAAATGTCTTGGGAAATAATTAAATATACGTTTGAAAGATATATTGTAAGTGACATATCCCAGTGACAGGATACAAGTCAGCTTGTATCTTCTAACTATTTAAGAAAAATTTCACTGTCAGGAAAAGCTCAGGCATCTGGCAATTTTTGTAATGCCTTTCTACAAAATTATCGTGAAGGAGAAAATTCCAAGTATGAACTAGGCATTGGTGTCAGGAGACAAACAATGTGAAATTGTAGTGGGTCCTACTTTCCCATGGGACCTAAGGTAATCAGAAAAAATAAACCTAGATAACTACTCATGTACATCTAATGCATCTAAATATCTAAACCTTAGCTATTTACTCGTGTCCATATATTGTATGTTAGGCTTGTCTGTGGCAGCATTTGCCACCAGACTTGCCTATCTCTTCCCAGTCCACTGTTTAGTTCATAAGAAGTTATATTTCTGTAGCTTTCATCCCATGCCTTAACATTTTGAATAGCTGTGGCATTTCAAAGCATTGAAAAGTGCTTGTAAAGAAGTGGAAATAATGCTCCTTTCTACAGTATAGATAAAGCCAGTGGAGACTGAAGCCAGCTTGAAGATCGTTATAGGTGTGTGGGATTAATATTCACACAAATTTAGGAAGGGAAATCAGGGGTGCATCATGTTTCCACCTGAGGAGGTTCCAAGACTGATTCTTAGACTGCTGGCCTGAGGCTGGTCTTGGGATGGCATGAGTCACTGGTGTCACTGTGAAGCTGCTGTTGGAGTGAAGGCTTGGAACTGGTTGTCAGTGGAGACAGAAGAATGAAGTTAGTGATTTTTGTGGTGCTTTTTTCACTGGGAGTATCTGCTGTAGTCTCTGTTTCTACTGCAGCTTCAGAGCAGTATATAGTCCATCTGTGGTCTTTGTCAGCTGGAGGCTCTTCTTTGCAAGGTACAAAGGGCAGTGACTCCTGCTGGTGCTTTTAGATCTATCAAAGCACCCTCTGGTATTTTTGAATAAAGTTGAATAATAGTCTGTACTTAATAATACATGAGGCTTTTTTTTTTGTTTGTGAACCATCTAAAAGTACTTGTATGTAGGCACAGAGTTTGTGGTGATTGGGGTGGGTTGGGCCAGCCTCATTCCCAGTGGGCACAGCTGTGAGCAGCAGGTGAGCAGCACTGACAGCAATGAGCCAGGGAGTGCCCAGGGGCACTGACCAACCTCCAAAGGGAGCAGAGGGCACACAGGGGCAGTGCATCAACGTGAGGGGATAAAAGGCTGGGCTGAGGAACAAGAAGGGCAATGCTTGCAGCCTTCTGGAGTGGAGTGATGTTACTCTGTATGGGCAGACACCTGAAGCCTTCTGATGTGGTATGGTGTTACTGTGTATGGGTAAATGCCTGAGGCCTTCTGAAATTGTGTGGTGATGCTCTCTCTGTGGTGGCTGTCTGGACTGTGGCGTGTGCTGAGGCACTTGTACTATTGTCTCTTATTTTGTGTGAAAATATTGTAAGTTGCTCTTAGCATGAAGGTTGTCCTCAGACAAATTGCTGCAAGAATGAGGTGCCTGACACTAGAAATCTGGACTGCACTGACTGGCTGTCAGGGGTGGAGAGTAGTAACCTCCTGTTACTTTCCTGCTTGGGCTGGAAGCACATGGAGTTAATGTTAGTGTCTCATCCTGAGCATGTCGTAAGTTGCTCTTAGCATGAAGGTTGTCCTCAGACAAGTTGCTGCAATAATGAGGTGCCTGGTACTAGAAATCTGGACTGCACTGACTGGACTGGCTGTCAGGGATGGAGAGTAGTAGCCTCCTGTTACTTTCTTGCTTGGCCTGGAAGCACATGGAATTAATGTATCTCAGCCTGAACACGTTTATGCCCCCCAAACTGCAAAGTGGATCATAAGTGGAATAAACTTCATAAAAAGTGGTGAGATTTGACAGCACAGCTACTGAGTTTGTGTTTAGAAGTTGTACTGAGAGCTCTCTGGAGGATTTGAAAATCCAAGGAGATGAAGTCCATTTACTACTAACCTAGGCAGGACCAACTGGGTAGCAGGAGGAATACCTGGGAGAAACAGTTGAGAGAGCTCCTGCTCTGAGCCCTCTTGGAGGTGGGAAAATGCATGGGATTTGCTGTCAAAATATGATGGGACTGGTGGTGTCCCAGTTGTAATCCCAAAGAATGCTTGGTTATGTAGGTTAGATTCAGAAGCAGAATTTCAGTTTTCTTAAGCAGTTTGGCACAGTTGATGTGTGGGAGTTTTTTTTGTTTTGTTGTTTTGTTTCCTTATGTTTTTTTTTTGTTTTTTTTTTTTTTGTCCCAGAAGCACAAAACTGTGGGGCAAGTTTTCTTTGACTTTCAGTTAGATGGTGGCACCTGCAGATGTACTTAATTCTTTTCTAATGTACCCAATTGTTTTAATTGTGAATATTGCAACAGAATGGAAAAGTACTTTGGTTCTGTGGGGTATCCTGTTTTCTTTTTTTTTTTCCCCAAAGCTTTGCAAGTTTTTATTGGTATTGGTGGGGTATCCTGTTTTCTTTTTTTTTTTTTCCCGAAGCTTTGCAAGTTTTTATTGGTACTGTTGAGAACTGTTTTTCAACTCGTACTATATAAGCATTATGTATTCTGTGCATTTCATGACCTAAACTGTATGTATGGAACAGAAGGCTGCTCTTTGCAGGTTTCTGTACTATGTGCACATCCCGTGAGTAAAAGGGAAATGCAGGGAACATGCAGCAATGAGCTGAAGGGTGTTGAACATATACTGTGAAGGAAACTGATTCTAATTAGAGACAAATGAGGTTGAATTTGAAGGGAACTCTTTACCTCCTGACAAGATTTTAGGAATTCGTTGGGTTCCAGTAATTTCCTAACAGTGAACTTTAAAGAGATTTTCCATTTCCTTGATTGCTGCTATATTTAAAGAAGATGGCACTTGAGAGTTGAGAGCAGGACGCAGTGACCTTGCCTTACCCATAACGCCAGTGGAAACCACTGTTCTTGGAGTGCTGTAATTCTGCTCTCACTGGGAGGCTGCCTTTGATTTCAAGGCAGAAGGCTGGAGCTCCCACATGGGAGACTGCTGTCCTGCATCTCTCACTGTGCATGCATTAACTGGAGAGCAGGCATCAGATTAACATCCCTAGTGCTGTCATAAATCAATCTGTGTATGCTTAAACAAGTTACATCAGCCTAATGGGAAAAGATGTGGTGAGACAATTAAAAGAATTAACCCAGAGCAGGGGGGTCGATAGCATGCAGTAATCTGTTGCTGGCGTGTGACGACCAGGCGCCATGGCAGTTCTGGCAGCCAGTCCCTGCAGGGATTGAACCCCACTCTCTCTTGGGAAGGCTGATGCCTTTTCAGAGGCTCTGGCAATGGGGCTCTGGGGTTTTCGAATGCTTGAAGGCTGATGAGGTTTAATTATTTTTATTATTAATTTTTATTGCTCTGAGGTGGAAAGCAGCTGTGTGTGAATGAGTTCACTAGTGCATGTGTAAATAAGCCAGCTCAGAGCCTTCCTGCCAGTGGAATCAGAGCATAAGCAATAGGGTCCAATCAATTTTAGTGATTTAATACTGTCTAGGTAAGCTTTTCTTCTTACTGACTCAAGAAGGTTGCCTTACAATACTGTTCTTATGCTGTAGTGGGTTGCCTAAATTGAGCAGTGCAATGGCTGCCAATGGAAACCAGAATCTCAGACTTCTTATTAGATTTAGTACAGTGGTCATTATGGTGAATTTAATTATGAAAAAGGCAGAGGAGGATTGCTAAAAAAAGAGATGGTTTTGTTTCCTTTACTCCTCCCCACCTTGTGAAAAGTCAAATCGATGATGTGTGTCTATCAGGCTTACAGTCTTAGAGCAAGCATTGCAAGCTCCCAGTCGAGTTCAAGACAGTTGCACAGGGGTCTTTGAAAAACAAACCTCTATCTTCCTCAGCCAATATTCAGGACCTGAATTCAGTTCACCAATGTCTTGTGTGAATTAATGGAAGCCTCAGCTCCTTCATTTCCCTTGAGTCTGCTTGTTGTTTCCCTGGAAAATTTCTTTTCTGTGGGGCTACTTGTGCCTGGAAAACACAGTAAATGTAATGTACCTGGGACTAACGTAAATCTCCTCCTTTCCTGCCAGTGCAATGCAAAGAAAGTCAAATTGTGAGTTGTGGGAGTTTGTCACACAGGTATGTGTCAGAGAAAGGCAAGGGAGTCAAGAGGAAACGGAGAGCTGGTGGAAAGAGACACTTGCAGCATTGTCTTTGTGTACTTGACCCTCTTTATTTTTCCCTGTAGCTTTCTCATTTTCAGGCAGAGAAATCCGTGCTTGCAAAAAGTTTTCTTTTCCACTTATCCCCAGGCAGCACAGTGAAGTGTTACTGGGACCATAAGGGGCAGCATCAGGAGTTCATGGTGGAGTGCAAGGAGTTCATGGTGGAGTTTCCCCCCTCTGGAGGAGAAACTCCATCATGAATCTCAGAGCATGTGATGTTGACACTCTGAGTCCACCAGACCACCAAATCCAGAAGAGTGAGGCTAAATGCCAGTGGTGTCTCCAAGAAATGAAGTTATTGGCTATCCAACCTTTTGCTTGCTAAGTGTGTCTCTGCTCAAGGCACATCTGCTACATTACAGCAAAGCCAGCAGTGAGCAGCTCATGGTGCAGTGTCCTCCATTGCCAGAGGGCTGTGGCAAAGGTGGTTTGATGGAATTGCTTCCCCAGCTCACCTGTGTGTGACTTGATTTTTGTGTGTGTTGTGCTTAGATATGTTTTTGGTGGACGTGATGAAGAGGTTCAGGAGCAAAGAAAGGATCTTGCTGGCCCAGGAGACCAGCAGCATGGAAAGGCTGTTGAGAGACGCAAAAGGAATGCTGGCCCTAGTTGCTCTGCTTTCTGCTTGCTGTTTTGAAGCATCCTGGCAGTGAGGTACCATGCAAGATCAACTTTGTGGCCATTTTCCAGTGTGCCAGTTACATATGTAATGGATCTCATTTGGGAAACCCCACCAGGACAGAGCAGGGGTAGGGGTTAGTGCAAACCTGGCTTTTACCCTTCCCTAGCATCTATCCAACAGCATCTTCTAGCACAATGCCTTTAGCAATCATCGAACTTTTGACCCCGGTCTCTGAAGTAATGCCAAGTATGTTTAGCACACATACAAATGAAGTGGAAATCATTATTGGCTTGCTCATGACCTGCTGAAAAATGGGTCCCCTCCGGGGGCTCTGTTTGCATTTCCCTCAGTCTCTCTGAGCACTCAATCTTTCAGCAGTTTCATGTGCTACAAACTGAGCACCACTGTGCTTTTCATTGGATCGACCTGCCACTGCCTGTTCACTCCAAACCTTCCCCTGCCTTGTGTTTTCTGAGGCAGCAGTAACAGGGCTCACACCTAAGCACCCCCCAGAACACAGGTTTGTATTGTACCATGTTTATATTGTACACACAGGTGTGACTTGGGACCACATCTAGCTCACGTCATGCTGAGAGCTGCTCTCAGCCTGTCCTTCAACTACCAAGCCCCAGGAAAAGGAAATGCAGATTTGTAGGCTGTCAGGAGGCTCTGCTGATCCAGATGACTGGCAGTCCAAATGGCAAGCTTTCTTCCAACCCTGAATTTTATTTCTCTGCTTTCCCTCTGCATGCATATATTCATTTTTGTCTGGGCTGCCATGAGGATTGACAAAGCTGATCTCTTCTTTAAATGTCCATCACTGGAGCCCCTTCTCTTCAAAACAAAGAAATGTTCAAAAACTCAGAAACCTCTGAATTATTTATCTGAAATATGGCAATAAAATATATTATTTTTATCTTTATTTCTTTTCTAAGCAAAGCTACATATAAAGTTTGATATAAGGTCAAAGATTATTGAGATAATTTCTACTTACTCTGTGTAGATACAGAATGATTCCAACAACTGGGCTATTCCTTGCAAGAGTCTCCTTTTGCATTTGCATGTAAATGATTACAGAAAGAAGGAAATCCCAGCATTCACCTTGTCGCCTTATCCTGCATTACAATTGAAATATCCTGAATAGCTGATCCTTCCATTTTGCAATTTTTGATGGCTGCTGGTTTTTTTTTTTCTCCTGTTGTACTATCTTAGTAAATGGTATTTTCTTCTCCCAAATATGTTCTTTCTGATGGGCTGGGGGTAACAGTAGAATAAATTAAAGAAGGCTTCACTGACAAGGAGTAATGATCAACTCATTCAAAAGGCTAAATGAAACAGCCATGTTAAGCTGTGTTGTTAAAGAAAGAGTTCATTTTTTAATTTGTTTGTAAGTTCTTTTCTGTCAGTATACCACAGCCTGTGTTGAGACAGCAACTGTTCCAGGCAGAGCATCATGTGTTTGCGTGCTGTTA